TTACTGGGCCCGCTTGAGCAAATCGACGATCAACGGGAGGGCCTTTTACTTTAGATCTAAAGATAAATTCATTAAAAATCTTTTCAAGTTTTTTCCCTTTAATTGGAGAAACACGGGGGTATGGTGCTGCCAGCAGGTCAGTTTGTACTTGTGAGGTGAGTGCATCAGCAGCCTGATGGCACCGTCAGGCTTTCAGATACTCCAAAATTGCTGCTGTGCCTTTGGCCAGACCCCAAAAACTTGGGGCAAAGTTTACCAAGAAAGTAAACGGCCAAAAGTTAGGTATGTGGGAGACACATCCACAAACCACCTCTGGCTCAGCTATATAATTGGAGGCAAGGCCTCTCTGGTTCCTGATCGAACTGCTTAATGGCCATGATCCCAGAGACTCAGAAACGAATCTCGGGACCCAAAGGCTTTTGGCAGAAATGCGTCCTGTTCCTGCAGTAGGTTACTGGCGCTGGGCCACTCCAGGTGGGAATAGGTTTCATGCCTTGGCCTGTTCCCCTTGGCGACCCGGTGACCACCATTCTCCAGAGGCTACTGGACAGTCAGGTCTGGGCCTGCAGTGATGAGACATGCCGGGACTCACCAGACGGGCGTGGAACCAGCCCTTTCCTCCCCATCCCAGCGAGACCCTGAGTCGTCGCCTACAAATGGCCTCTCTGGCTCCTGATCAAGCTAATTTATGGCCATGATCCCAGAGACTCAGAAACAAATTTGAAACCCAGCGGCTTTTGACAGAAATGCATCTGGACTGCATACAAGGTGGCTGCTGCCTCAGAGCTTCTTGGAAAGCCAGGTATGAGCCGGCGGTGTCGGGGCAATTGCAGTCTCATGGGAAAGGGGGTGGCACTGGCTCGTCCTTCGCGCCCTACTGAGGTCACGAGTTGCCCCCCACGAGCAGCTCTACGGCACAGCCATAACGCCAGACGCACAGATACCAATCTCGTAATTACCTGGCTCTTTGCAGAAATCCAAAATTGCGAGGCCGCTATTGCAGCCATACGAGATTATATGATTCTCATAACCAGCTATAGAAAACCAAGTATTTCACAATGCCTTTTCAGCAATTCTGATTGTTGGGGGGGGGGGAATTCTAAACAATAATGGTGCATCTTTTGTCAAAATAATGAATGTAATCAATGTAGAGAAGAGTTAAGTGGAAATCATCTGCCTCACAGGCATTGGGAAGGGTGGGAGGTGGGGTATATTGGGAGTTCTGAAACCTTAGTGGTGAAAAATGAGTACTGGTGAAGGAGAGGTGTTTGATCATTGTGTGACCGAGACTTAAACCTGAAAGCTTAATAACTTTTACCACAGTGATTCAATAAATAAATATAAGAAGAAAAAATAATAAATAAAATTATGAAAAAAAAGTAAGATGGAGTTCATGCCCAATTCAATCAGCTAATCAGTGGCTGAATAAATAGCAGTACTCATATATATATATATATATATAAAAGAATTGGAGAAACACGAATTTTCTTATTTATTTTTCAGTTTTTAAGAATTTTCTGAAGCGTTATTTGAAATGACAGTTTAAAATTTAATTATAGGATTGGCATATATGAAAAATACTGGTTTTGATTCTATCAAAAATAAATCTGAAGTTTTGGTCTTCTATTATATTTCAGCCAAAAGCAGGCAGAAATATATCTCCAGTCATTGCAGTACTCATTAAAATAAAAAGGTCTGAAAAGAACTTGGGGTGAGGGAGACAGAACCATGGATTTGATTCCCAGCGCTGCCTGGCATCCTGAATACCACCTGCCATGGCACTGGAGGTCCCCAGCCTACAGAATTCAAGGAGCACCACACTGCTCCTACATTGAACTGCCAGCTCAGTTGGCTGAGTATGCGTAGGAGTGGCCCCTGACCACAGCTTGGGAGCCTGTGCCCCCTACTTTTTTTTTTAATAAAAAGGAATTTGGTCACAACTACCACACCAACCCTAAATAACTCCCTGACCCAGAAGCTGAGAAAAGGTTCCTGGGCGGGGGCTGGAGTGATAGCACAGCGGGTAGGGTGTTTGCCTTGCATGCGGCCAACCTGGATTCGATTCCCAGTATCCCATGTGCCCCCCCCCCACGCCCCCACCTCGAGCACTGCCAGGAATAATTCCAGAGTGCACGAGGCAGGCAAGAGTAACCCCTGTGCATCGCAGGGTGTGAAGCAAAAAAAAAAAAAAAAAAAAAAAAGTTCCTGGGGTAAGACGGGGGGGGGGGGGGGGGGGGGGGGGGGGGGGAGGGACCAGGGGAACACGCCTCTTCTACCACTTGTACAGCTCCTGGTGAGCCTTTAGATCTTGGTCATCTGAAGGGGAAGCAACATTATATCCTGGGAAAGGCCTCTTGAGCTGGGACACCACACATTCTGTGAGTGGGAGTTCAGATTAGTGCCTCTGAGTTCTTGAAACAAATGGTTGTTTCCAGGACAGGGGGTTGGGAGTTCTGAAAACAATTACCTGGGTATTTAGGAGAAACCTCACTTCAGCAGGTTCCTTGTTAAGAGCTATTAGACTCATTAATAAATTCAATGAGTTATTCTAACAACAATAATAGCAATGATAATAGAACACTAATTGAGTGCAAGCATTTGTGTATTGCTTATTTTTTTTGGCCACACCTGCTGTACTCAGGGAGGGCTCAGGGGATCCACAGAGGCTGCTGGAGATCAAATCCATGTTGGGCGAGTGCAGACAGCACTTTCCAGTTGTACTGTCTTTCTTCCCAATTAGTGTATTATTTAATAAAGTTTTCTTGGCATTGCTTTACATTACTTCTACTACCCTATTAGCTATACCCAGGATATCTTCACCAGGACCTGAAAGAATCCTAATTAGGTGTAAGAAAATTCAGCTGTTATTAACAAAGACACATTTTTTTATTTTGACCATTTCCTGTTTTGTTCTGTTAAAAAAAGCTCAAAATGAGTTCTGTGCCAGTGTTGTTTTATTTTCTCATATAAAAAATGCCATAGTTTCAAAATAGAGAACACTGAATTTACTCCTAAGTGTATACTGATTTCAGTCACTGCAAATATGTTTGTCTTAACCTATGGAAATTTGTCTTTAAGCCCTAGGTTTGCTTAATAGAAGGTAACTTCATAAATCACTGCTGTCTGTCCACACTGTCCTCCCGTTGTTCATCGATTTGCTCTAGGGGGCCCAGTAACATCTCCATTGTGAGACTTCTTGTTATTGTGTTTGGCATATTGACTACTCTCGGTACCTTGCCAGGCTGAGAGGGGCAGAGGAATCGAACCTGGCTCTGTCAGGCCAGGCTGGTTGCATGCAAGGCAGAGGAATCGAACCTGGCTCTGTCAGGCCAGGCTGGTTGCATGCAAGGCAGAGGAATCGAACCTGGCTCTGTCAGGCCAGGCTGGTTGCACGCAAGGCAAACGCCCTGCCGCTGTGCTATCACTGCAGCCAAAATCAAAGTTGCTTGCAGAAAGGCTTCTCTCTGAAACCAGGGTTCTAAAAAAAAAGGCAGAGCTCCTCCTTCTTATGGATTCTCCAGAACCTCTACGTCTCACCTCTCCTTCATGTTAGTGGAGCAGATTGATGGCATTCCAGGCCCTTCCCCTAAACTCCACCCCCAGATTTACTCGAACTTGGATATGATTGCTGAAAAAGTTCTCCTCTGTCGAACTTCGTCTCAACTCCTTTTGGGTAAATGATGTAAGCCCATACACACCTTGTATTCATTTGGTTTTGGGGACACACTACAGTGCTCCCCTGCAAGGCAATGGCATGCATATGATACTATCTCTCCTGCCACCCTCCTTTACCATTTTTACTGAGGTAGACCATTTACACTGCCAGTAATACTTTCCACACATACATTAGTCCGGCTCCACACTCGCTAGTGAAAATGTCAGTGCGCTCCCACCACCAGGCCCGACAACTGCAACGTGTCAGAGAAATTCTCCTCACTTAATCTGCGCCACAGGCTTTCTATCCTTCGGGGGCGGGGCTGGGGTGGGGGAGGGGAGTCAGCCTCGCCCCGCTGGTCCAGGATACTCGGGCAGTTTCGCAGAAGGACAGCGGCGAGGGAGGTCAGCCCGACGCGGCCCGCTCCCGCCCCCACCCGGGATCAGCCTCTGGGCCGGAGCCCGCCCGCGTCCAAGGACCTTCTTCCGCTCCGGGCTCGCCGGTATCTCCGCGTGTGGAACCTCAGCTTTCGGCCGTCCCGCGCGCGTGGCTGCCCACTGCCCACCCGCCCCTCCGTTCCCGACCCGCGTTCCCAGCACCCGGACCGCGGACGCGCCGCTCTCCCTCCGGACTCCGGACTCCGCCGCCCCGCTCCCCGCCCTCCCGTCCAGACCCCCTGGCCCGCTCCCGGCCCACCCACACGCAGACGCCCGGCCCGCCGTCCACCTGGAGCCCGGCTTCCTCCCCCGCCCCGGCGCCCCGGCTTTCCCGGCCCGCGTCTCCCACGGGCGCCCTCGGCTCCCGCCTCAGCTGCCTTCGCCGCCTCGGCGCCCCTCAGCCCGCCTCAGCTGCCGCAGCAGGGGGACGCGGCGGGCCCCGCCCGACCCGAGGGGCGCGCCCGGCGGGGTCGGCCCCGCGCGAGGCTGCGTTCCGCGGGGCCGGGCGAGGCGGCGGGAGGCGCGGCCGGGGGTCGCGGGCGGGCGGCCGGGCCGGGCTTTCCCGCGCGGCCGCCCGGGGGGCGGGGAAGGGCCCGGATGGAGCCGCCCCGCCGCGGGATCCCCGCGGGCTCCGGAGCGCGGCGCGGGGCGGAGTCCCCTCCTCGCCGCGCGCCCATTGGCTCGCCTGCGCCCGCCTCCTCCCGCGATTGGGTGGCGGCGCTGCCCGTCGCCGGGCGTCACGCCCCGCCCCCTCGCGGCTGGCTGCCGGGAGGGGACGGCGTCGACGTCGCCTGGACTCGCTGCGTCTCCCGCGGCCGGCCGCCCTCCGCCCGCCCGCGCTCGGACCCGGCGCCGGGCTCCTCGGCTCCGCGGCCCCTCGGAGACGCCGGCCGCCCCCCGCCCGCGAGCCCGCGCGCGGCGCCATGTCCTGGATGTTCAAGAGGTGAAGGGGGCGGGGGGGCGCCGGGGCAACGGCCCGCGGGCCCCCGGCCGGGCCCGACCTCCCGGGGCGCGGGCCGGGGCCGCCGCCCGCCGCCCGCCGCCCGCCGCCCCCCGCCTCGCCTTGCTTCGCCGCGCCGCGCCCATTGTTCGGCCCGGGCCGGGGCCGGGGCGGGGCGGCGGGCGGCGCGACCCGCGACCCCGCGGCGCCCGGGCTTCCCGTGCGCGCAGTCGGGGGCCGGCGCGGGCTGACGGCCGCCGCGAGCCCCGGGCCGGGCCCGGCGGGGCCCCTGGGTCGCGGGATTTGTGCCCGGGCGGCGCGGGGCGGGGACGCGGGTCGCCGTCCGCAGCGGGCCTCGCCTGGCCCCCGCCGCCTTTGTGGGTCCCCGGCGGCGCCCGCGGGTGGGTGGGGGTCGCGCGCGGCCGCGGCACCACGCAGGGAAGGAGGTTTGTGGACCCTCGGGATTCCCGTGTCTCGTGTGTGCGCGCGCGCGCGTGCAGGAAAAGAGGCTTGTGCATCTTCGGTAGGGGGTTTCGTGTCGAGAAGCTGTGTGTGTGTGTTGACCTGGAGTGGAAACCTCCCGCACTCGCAGTGGGGGCTTTTGTTTGGAGTGTGTGTGTGTGTGTGCGTGCAGGAAAAGAGATTTGTGGATCTTCGGTCGGGGCATTCGTGTCGAGAGACTGTGTGTGCACGCGTGTGTGTGCGTGCGCGTGTGCGTGCGCCCGCGTGTGTGCGCGTTGACTGGAATGGAAACCTTCCACACTTGCAGTGGGGGCTTTTGTTTGGAGTGTGTGTGTGTGCGTGTTTGTGTGTCTGTGTGTTGACCTGGAGTGGAAACCTTCCATACTCGCAGTGGGGGCTTTTGTTTGAAGAAAGAGAGTGTGCGTGTGCGCGCGTGTGCGTGCGCCCGCGTGTGTGCGCGATGACTGGAATGGAAACCTTCCACACTCGCAGTGGGGGCTTTTGTTTGGAGTGTGTGTGTGTGTTTGTGTGTCTGTGTGTTGACCTGGAATGGAAACCTTCCATACTCGTAGTGGGGGCTTTTGTTTGGAGAAAGAGAGAGAGAGAGAGAGTGTGTGTGTGTGTGTGTGCGCGTGCGTGCGCGTGCGTGCGCGTGTGTGTTGACCTGGAGTTGAAACCTTCCACACTCGCTTTGGGGGCTTTTTGTGGAGTGTGTGTGTGTGTGTGTGCGTTGACCTGGAGTGGAAACCTTCCACACTCGCTTTGGGGGTTTTTGTGGAGTGTGTGTGTGTGTGTGTGTGTGCGTGTGCGTGCGCGTGTGTGTTGACCTGGAGTGGAAACCTTCCACACTCGCTTTGGGGGCTTTTTGTGGAGTGTGTGTGTGTGTGTGCGTGTGCGTGTGCGTGCGCGTGTGTGTTGACCTGGAGTGGAAACCTTCCACACTCGCTTTGGGGGCTTTTTGTGGAGTGTGTGTGTGTGTGTGTGCGTTGACCTGGAGTGGAAACCTTCCACACTCGCTTTGGGGGTTTTTGTGGAGTGTGTGTGTGTGTGTGTGTGCGTGTGCGTGCGCGTGTGTGTTGACCTGGAGTGGAAACCTTCCACACTCGCTTTGGGGGCTTTTTGTGGAGTGTGTGTGTGTGTGTGCGTGTGCGTGTGCGTGCGCGTGTGTGTTGACCTGGAGTGGAAACCTTCCACACTCGCTTTGGGGGCTTTTTGTGGAGTGTGTGTGTGTGTGTGCGTGTGCGTGTGCGTGCGCGTGTGTGTTGACCTGGAGTGGAAACCTTCCACACTCGCTTTGGGGGCTTTTTGTGGAGTGTGTGTGTGTGTGTGTGTGTGCGTGTGCGTGTGCGTGCGCGTGTGTGTTGACCTGGAGTGGAAACCTTCCACACTCGCTTTGGGGGCTTTTTGTGGAGTGTGTGTGTGTGTGCGTGTGCGTGTGTGTTGACCTGGAGTGGAAACCTTCCACACTCGCTTTGGGGGCTTTTTGTGGAGTGTGTGTGTGTGCGTGTGCGTGCGCGTGTGTGTTGACCTGGAGTGGAAACCTTCCACACTCGCTTTGGGGGCTTTTTGTGGAGTGTGTGTGTGTGTGAGCGTGTGCGTGTGCGTGCGCGTGTGTGTTGACCTGGAGTGGAAACCTTCCACACTCGCTTTGGGGGCTTTTTGTGGAGTGTGTGTGTGTGTGCGTGTGCGTGTGCGTGCGCGTGTGTGTTGACCTGGAGTGGAAACCTTCCACACTCGCTTTGGGGGCTTTTTGTGGAGTGTGTGTGTGTGTGCGTGTGCGTGTGTGTTGACCTGGAGTGGAAACCTTCCACACTCGCTTTGGGGGCTTTTTGTGGAGTGTGTGTGTGTGCGTGTGCGTGTGCGTGCGCGTGTGTGTTGACCTGGAGTGGAAACCTTCCACACTCGCTTTGGGGGCTTTTTGTGGAGTGTGTGTGTGTGTGCGTGTGCGTGTGTGTGCGCGTGTGTGTTGACCTGGAGTGGAAACCTTCCACACTGGCTTTGGGGGCTTTTTGTGGAGTGTGTGTGTGCGTGTGCGTGTGTGTGCGCGTGTGTGTTAACCTGGAGTGGAAACCTTCCACACTCGCTTTGGGGGCTTTTTGTGGAGTGTGTGTGTGTGTGCGTGTGCGTGCGCGTGTGTGTTGACCTGGAGTGGAAACCTTCCACACTCGCTTTGGGGGCTTTTTGTGGAGTGTGTGTGTGTGTGCGCGTGTGCGCGCGCGTGCGCGTGTGTTGCCCTGGAGTGGAACCCTCCCGCGCTGCCTCCAGCGCCCGCTTTAGCTAGAGCAGCGCTCGAGGTCCGCGTTCTCGCCCAGCGTTTCTTGAGGTCCAGCAAGCGCAAAGGTCTGTCAGTGTGTCTGGAGACGTACTCGGCTAGTGTCATGTCTTGTCTGTCTTGTCTTTGTTCCTCCTGAGTAGAGATCCCGTTTGGAAGTACTTGCAGACCGTCCAGTATGGAGTCCACGGGAGTTTCCCGCGCCTCTCCTACCCGACTTTCTTCCCGCGCTTTGAATTCCAAGATGTCATTCCTCCGGACGACTTCCTGACCAGTGACGAAGAGCTGGACTCAGTCTTGTTCGGGACTTTGAGAGGGCATGTGGTCGGACTGCGCTATTACACGGGAGTTGTGAGTGTGACTTCAGATCGCGAATCAAAGTTGGGGTGTTCATGGTGTTTCCCTGGAAAGTCCTGTGCTGTGTAGAAGTCATCTTTAGGCTACTTCAATAGAAGTATGTTTAGGGCGGAGAGAACAAAAAAAACTCGTTTTATTTATTTTTTGGGTTCTGTGTGTGTTTGGGTCACATCCCAGGATGCTCGGGCTAACTCCTTTCTCTGCACTCGGGATCACTCCTGTCAGCGCTCAGGGGACCCTGTGGGTTACCGGTCCCTAAGCTGGGGCTGCCTGCAAGGAAAGCTTCCTGTTTTGACTTTTTTTTGTCATTCTTTGTGTTGGAGAGGCTTTCGTTGCTACAGTGACTCAACTGTGGGTAGACATCTGTTATCCCCTCAGAGAGCAAGACTCCAGTTTGGCTTGGTTCGGTGATTTGCCCAAAAGAATGGTTGGATATCAGCTACCATCGATGTTCGGGGGATTGCTCCTTGTGACTTTCAGCACATTTTGTACTTCTTCCTAGTTTGATTTTGGGTTAACTTCTATGGAGGAAGGGAGTTTTTTATTTTCAAGATACTGTTGTTTTGATTTTTGAGTGAAAGGCGTGTCTCCCAACTTTTCCTGTGTCTGGCCTTGTTCTCTGGAAGAGACACAGGTAGAGACTATATGATACTCTCTGACGTGTAATTGTATTTGTTGTGGTTACCTAGTTTGCCCCTGTGTTATCTCTGGACGATATGCCTGCAGTTTTTATTTTTTAATTTATGTAAAATTCCAACAATGCTTTAGTAATAAATTTCCGTAGAGATTTTGCATTTTGCTTCATTGTTTTTGTGTGTGTGTGTTCTTATGCCAAAAATTCTAAATAACAATAATATTTCACACTGATATAATTCAGTATGTAAATAAATAGTTTGGGTTGGAGCGATAGTACAGCAGGTAGGGCGTTTGCCTTGCACGGGCTGACCCGAGCTCAATTCCCAGCATTCCATATGGTCCCCCAAGCACCGCCAGGAGTAATTCCTGAGTGCATGAGCCAGGCGTAACCTCTGTGCATTGCCAGCTGTGACCCAAAAAGAAAAAAAAAATCTAAATAACAGTAACATTTCACACTGGTATAATTCAGTATGTATATATAAAAAGTTTGGGCTGGAGCAATAGCAGCACAGTGGGTAGGACGTTTGCCTTGCACGCTGCCAACCCAGGTTCGATTTTTCCATCCCTCTCTGAGAGCCCAGCAAAGCTACTGAAAGTATCCCACCCGCACGGCAGAGCCTGGCAAGCTAGTTCCCTGTGGCATATTGGATATGCCAAACACAGTAACAACGAGTCTCACAATGGAGACGTTGCTGGTGCCCACTGGAACAACAGGGAGGACAATGCTACAGTGCATAGAAAAAGTTTATACATTTTCCTCCCCTTTGTTTTTATATTTAACAAAATAACAATTTCTTCCCGCCCCCACACCAATTATTTAGGAACTGTAATTTGCGATTCTAACCATAGTAAAGTTTCAGGCATTACAATGTTCAGCATCAGTCTCATGGCTAGCATCAACTTGCCTCCACCAATGGCTGCATGCTTCCCCTTCCCAAAGTAGTAATTTATGTTGCATTTCTTCAGTAATCCAAAATCAGTTTCCTTGATTGTTTAAAAGTATCTTCTTACAGTTTTTCACCCCTCCTGCCCCACCCAAGTCAAAAGAAAAAAAAATTTAGTGGCAGGAGAATTAGTATTGGAAGTGTGGCGCCCTGCATGCTTTGCATCCCAGTTCAGGTCCTGGCAGTACAATAGGTTGCTCTTGAGCAGAGCCAGGAGCAGGCCCAGAGCACTACCAGATGTGGCCCAAATGCGCCCCCCCCCCTTTTCTGGAAGAGAAATATCTTGACGGTTTTGCTCTGCAGGGGAGGGCGGCACTGTGGTGGTGCTGAGGCTTTGCTGGGGGTCACTCCTGGGGGTTCTAAGGCATGCAGCAGTGCTTGGGGCGACTCTTGACTCCGCACCGTGCAGGGCCAGGAATGGGACGGGGACCTCCTTTGTATGAAGCATACGCTCCGCCCATTGAGCCAGTCTCTAGCCCCCATGATTTTATGTTGATTTTAGGTTGCTTGTTGGAAGCATGTTCCACTGGAGATTCCTTGGGGACGAATTTCATGGTCTAGATTTATAGCGTCTTTAAGTTCCTTCATACTTTTTTTCATACTGCCGCTTCTCAAATTATTTTGTTCGAGTCTGAAATGTTTTGTCTAGAATCCGACTTCTTAAACTGTGGGTCACAACTTACAGTAGAATGTGGCAGGAAAGGATCACAAAAATTTGGTCTTTACGTGAGGGTTCTGGAACACACAACATCCAGAAGTTATTTAAAAATCGACTGACTAATGAATTTGAGGTGTTCTTAGTGGTACTTACCTGTGTTCCGTTTTTTGGGTGAAGAGGTGCTGGGAGTGAAAAACGTTTAAAATGTCCTGGTGGTGTGCAGCTGCCAATCCATGGATTGTCACCAAGCCTGTCACCAAACATAAAAATGTCAAAAACCACTTGTTCACTGCAGCGACTCCCCTGCCGCCCCCTTGGGTGGGGCTGGGTGGTGGTGGTGGTGTGGAGGGAACATACCTGGTAGTGCTCAGGAATCACTGGGTGGGATTTGGGGGCCTTTATGGGGTACCAGGCCATGTTTAAGACAAGTGCCTTGCTTGTACTGTCCTTGTGCTCCCATGGGTGGTACACAGGTCCTTCAGGAGTAAGAAAGGTGAACACCACCGGTCTCCAGGAGACTCCTCAGGAAGGAACAACGTGTTCACGATGGTAGTATTTACACTTAAAGGGCAATTTTACCGAGTGTCAAGTCCACCCATACTTTCCATGGTAGCTTGTAGCTTGATTGCTGTTGCATGAAATGTTGCTGGTGACAATTCTTATGTCAGTATGTCTCCTCTCTGTAAGTGGAATGCAGGTTTTTTGGTTTTTGCCCGGATAACCAAAGGAAGATTTTTTTTTTCTTGAAGCAAGTTCTGTAGTGTCATTATGCTGTATCTTAAGGTTAATTTTTCTGTAAGCTTATTTTCTTAGTTTTGGGGGGTTTTGTTGTAGGGCCACACCTGGTGATACGCAGGCTTCCTCCTGGCTCTGCACTGAGGGTTCGCCCCTACAGGGCTCAGGAGGCCATCTGGGTGCTGGGGATTGAACTTGACTTGGCCAAGTGCAAGGCCAGGCGCCTCACCCTCCCTACTATCTCTTGGACCTCTATTTTTGTTTTTATATAAACGATTACAAAACTTGTTTTTCCTTCTTCGAGACTCCCATTCTGCTCTTTACGCAAAGTTTTATGGTCTTTTTTTCCCACCCCTTTTGAAAGGCATATGACTATTCCCTCTGAATTTTTAAAATAAATCATTTATTGGGACTGGAGAGAAAAAGTATAGCAGAAAAGCCATTTACCTTGCATTCGGCCTTCCCTAGTTTGATGCCCGGGACCCCAGGTGGTCCCTAAGCCTGAGCCAGGAATGGTTCCTGAGTCCCTAGCCAGGGGTAAGCCCTGAGCACAGCTGACTATGGCTTCCCCTCACCGCAATTCTTTTTTAATAATTAACAGTTAATGTGTTTACAATTGCCGATACATCAAATTAAAAAAAAACTGGTGTTGACATTTATGGTCTTGATGTGAATAGTTACCTCATCTCACCACTGCTAAGGTGCCCAGACCCTCCACCTCTGTACTCTGTACCATTTCCTTAAATTGGGTTTTTTCACTTTAGAGTTTTTCATGGTCTGTTTCCTTACCATGTTTTTAAAAACGCCTGGTTTTATTGTTGTCATTGTAGGGTTCGTATCTGGTCATTTGGGGATTGGGATGAAGCCCAGGGATGGAACCCCGGCCCCACACGTGCAGAGTCGGTCCCCTCTACCACAGTGCCACATCCTCAGCCCCAATGTCTTTGTACTTTGTGTTCTTTGTACTTGCCTGTCTTTTAATTATGTTCTTTTTTTTTTCTCACTGAAAAATCTAGTTTTTATGTTTCATCTGTTCTCTTGCTTTCATGTTTTGGGTCTTTGAACATAATTTAAAATTTAAATTAAAATTTTCTTGTAAGTGAAATTTCTTAATCACAGTTATAGTACTTTTTTTCCTACTCATGAACCATCCTTTCTTGGTTTTTGGCATGTTTTATATTTTTGTTGCTGAAACAATGTGTTCTTCTCTCTTCGTTCCCATTGTTTGTTGTTGCTGATTTGGTGATTGTTTTCTTAAGTGTTTTGAATTAATACTGTGAAATATCCTCTTTCTTACTTGTTGTCACTCAGGTTTCTATACTTAGTTTTTCAGTATTCAGCTAATAGTGGTAATGAGATCAGTACATTTCTTGTTTTTTACTAAAACTGGTTGCGTTTGGGGGCACTCCTTTAATCTAGAGGCAGGCATTTAGGAACTCTGCCTTAAGCCTCCACTTTCTACTAACTCAGTAGCTTATGTTCACCTACAGCTGATAAAGGATTTCACAGCATATAGCAGTGCCTTGGGCGAAAGGTCTTTTGGAGCAAATGTAAGGCTTTGAGCCAACTTGTAGCTTGCATGTAACCTGGATTCCAACAGTGTTTTATAGTTTTTCAAATCCTCTGTGGACATCTTTTTGTATTTTCCTCCCTACCTTTAACCTTGTCTGTGAAATTATTTCAATAAACATCTTATTGAATGCTTATTAAGAAACTTATTAAGAAACCTAGAAGCCATATAGAAACGGTTTTGCAAAGTAGAAAAGCCCCTTCGAAAGTGCTCATGTCCTAGGGAACTTTGGCCATGTACAGGCCAAATTATGTCAATTGGGGTAGATGAATCATTGCAAGATTCTGCTTCCTCTGGGACTGCTACATCAAGATCCCAACAAGTTCATTCTAAAGGGCATTATTTAATAGATTGGACTAGGGCTCTGATATTCGGCTGTTGTCATACATTAACATGACCTGCCATCTGCAAGTCAGTGTTAGTTTCCAGAGTACTGGAAAAGTTAATTCATATTGTTTTATTTTTCTTTTTTGGGACATACCTGGTGTGATGCTGGGGACTCTGTTGTGCCAGAAATTGAACCTGGGTGTCCCACATGCAACAGATTATGACTATTTTTATCATTACTGATAGGTAATTTATAGTGAGAAGGAGTGAATTAAGTGGAATCTGAATGGTACAAATCACGATCACGATCACGACCACGACCACGACCACGACCATCCTGTTGTTCGTCAATTGCCTCGAGCAGGCCCCAGTAACGTCTCCTTCGTCCTAACCCTGAGATTTTTTTTGTTTAAAGTGCCATATTCAAGGCTCTTTCAGGGTTAGGAGAATGAGACCCATCATTGTTACTGGTATTTGGCATATTGGGTACGCCACAGGGAGTTTGCCAGACTCTGCCGTGTGGGCAGGTTACGTTCGGTAGCCTGCCAGTTTGTCCACAAAGTAAGAATGAAATAATAAGATGTCATTATTATCTCTTTATGTCAAAACCCTGCTTCCGGGAGCTGGGTTTATAGTCTCTGGGTCTTGGCCTTTGATGGGATTACACGGCGCCAGGGGGCCAGTTGGTGGGTGTGACCCCTGCCTACTGGAATATGGAGGATCTGGGTGGAGGATGCTCAGCCCTGATCCGAGCAGGCTTGGAGATCTCCAATGGTACAAATAAAATACAGAAATTTTTTATTAGTTCAAAGCTCTTTCAGGGTTAGGAGAATGAGACCCATCATTGTTACTGGTATTTGGCATATTGGGTACGCCACGGGGTAGTCCCCGTGGCGTACCCAATATGCCAAATACCAGTAAAGTTTCTTCTTTATAATCTCCCAGTTTTTACTTTTTAAGCTAAACACTTTGGGTTTAGGAACCATCCCGCTGAGGTTCATATTCTGGCTTTGTAAATACCTTTTGGTATTTTTGTTTGGTTTTGGTTTGGGGCCACACCCAGCTATGCTTAAGGCTTACTCCTGGCCCTGCATCACTCCTGGTATGCTTGGAAACCACATGGAGAGTTGGGGACCAAATCTTGGGTGCAAGGCAAGTGCCTTATTCACTCCACTATTTCTCTGGCCCCATCCGTAAACTGTTTGTGTTTGTGCCTTAGTATCTTTGCCTAAAAATGGGAATAATGGTAGTGTATGCCAGTAGGAATGTGAGGCTTTAAAAAGTTGACCTGGTGCCAGAGATAGTACAAGGGTTTAGATGCTCACCTTCGATGAGGCTGATACAGTTCTATCCCGGCAATGCACATGGTCCCCCTAGCACAGAGCCGGGGATATGCCGTGAGTGCTGTCAGTTGTGCTCCAAAAGTTAAAAAGTAAAATGTCAGTCTTTGTAATGTACGATAGGTCTCAGAATACTGTCCTTTTGATTTAAGGTGGATGAGGAACATTGGTCCTATTGAGTCTAAGAAAATACTGGTTTCTTCTGTATAAAATTTTACTCAGAAATCATTAAAACAGTGAATGAAAATTCCAGATAAATTATGAGGAAGTTATTAAGATATTTTTATGTTGATTATATCTGTTTATTGTTTTTATTAGGTTAATAACAATGAAATGGTTGCATTACAACGAGAACCCAGTAACCCTTATGATAAAAATGCAATTAAAGTGAACAATGTGAATGGAAATCAGGTTGGCCATTTAAAGAAAGAGCTTGCAGCTGCTTTGGCCCATATCATGGACAACAAACTCGCACAAGTTGAAGGGTAATGCACTTTCTGTGTTTAGTTCTAGTAATTGTGAGTTGTAGTGGTATTTGTTTGTTAGAGTTTATATAGTTCCCTGAAACCACTTTTCAGTAAATGTTTTCATTCTCTTCTCACATGCCCTCATGACTAGCCAGCATATAGCTGTCCCTCACTATACTCTTGAATTTGGAGATGAACAGACTTTGGTCCAAGAGTTTGAGAAGATGCATCATCTTTCCAAATCTGAGAGTGAAAAAGTGTTTGTTTAAATAAAAGGTGGTAAACAGGCAGCCTGGGACTGGGTCTGCAGCACTTTAAAATTTATTTCCCACAGTTGAATATCGGAGTATTCTATTTGTTAAACCTAATGTTTTTCCTTTGAGTTATAAAAGTTGCTTTCGAGTGTTTCTTTTGACAAGTGGAATATCTGGAAATGCAGAATCCTCATTTCCACATGACTTCAGTCAGTTGACTGGAGCAAGCTAGCAGCTAGAAGCCCAGGCAGAGAGTCCCAGGTCCTGTCCATGTCTAAATTCGCCTCTTTCCCTCTCCCCACCTTCTTTTTTAAAAACTCAGTCTCCTCGGTTACCTTTTGTCTTTTAGGGTTTCGTATTTTAAGTATGGGCTGTTTAGGATTTAAATGGGTGAGTTGGGAAGAGAAATGATCAGCGCAACATCTTCTCACTTGTTTTCTTTCTCAGTCCATCAAGTTTTTCAGGTATTGAGAACAAACTTTTAGTGAATTTTGGATAAGAAATTATTTTTGCAAATCATTCATTTTCCCAGAATGAATTGCTACCCTTCTCCTAGTAAAAGCTCTGCTATCGCAACTAAATATACTCTTTTACCTGTCTGACAGTCTTGGTTACAGACTATCCTTGTATTTCAGTCCTGCTGTATTTTACCTTTTCAGTTTCTGTGGTATTCTCTTCCTTTAAACCACCTTTTATTTTTGATTATTGATGATCACATACCTTCTCCTTTCCTCTTTTTCAGATTCCTCCAGATTTCCTCCTGTATTATTACTTCATGCAAATTGAATGCTATTTTCAGAATATTTAATTTAATCTTAATGATAGTAAAAACCAAAAAGTATAATATCCTCTCTTTTCCTTCTTAAATAAATAGGGTAGTTCCTTTTGGTGCAAACAATGCTTTTACTATGCCTCTGCATATGACTTTCTGGGGCAAAGAAGAAAATAGAAAAGCGGTTTTAGATCAGTTGAAGAAACATGGATTTAAATTGGGTCCTGCTCCAAAAGGTAAATTTAGGGTTTAACTATTTTGCTTGTGTATAAATGTTGCAATTGTAAAATACTTGCTCTATCTCTTTATAAGCATTTATTCTCTTCAGTTTGGGTGATTAATTCATGCTGAAGGCATCAAGTTATAACTCAGGAGTGTTTTAAAGGAAATTCCTGAATTTTGATTTTACCTCTTTGTTTTGAAGTAACTGTCGATTCATAGGAGGTGTGCCATGTGCGCAGACACAAATGTGAAATGTGATCCTGAATTCCCTCCCCTGTTTTCCTCCAGTGATGGTATCTGGAAATTCCTGATTTTAAACATTGTCTTGCTGATAAATTATAAACAAAAATATCTCCCAATAGGGAGTGAAAATTGTGGAATTATTTTTAGTAATATAGTACTGTAGCACTGTCCTCCCGTGCTTCATTGATTTGCTCTAGCAGGACCAGTAACGTCTCCATTGTGAGACTTGTTACTGTTTTTGGCATATTGAATACTCCACAGGGAGCTTGTCAGGCTCTGTCGTGCGTGCGAGATACTATTGGTAGCTTGCCAGGCTCTCCAAGAGGGGTGGAGGAATCGAACCTGGGTGCAAGGCAAATGCCCTACCTGCTGTGCTATTGCTTACATTTTATTAAAAAATATTTTTTTAATGAATCATTATGAGATACAGATTTACAAACTTTTGTGTTGTGCAATTGCTCAGATTTTATTTAAAAAATTTTTTTTTAAAGAATCATCATGAGATACAGATTTACAAACTTTCGTGATTACGTTTCAGTCATACAATGATCGAATACCCGTCCCTCCACCAGTGCCCATTCTCCACCACCAGTGTTTCCCAGTATCCCTCCCACCAGGCCCCTTGCCCCTGCCTCTGTGGCAGGCACATTCCCTTTTACTCTCTCTCCTTTTGGGTGTTATGGCATCATGTTTCGTCCATAGTTAGTAAAATATGTTTTGAATGACAACAGGAAGAAGCTTTATAAAATCTTTAATACTAGTTATATTCAGAGAATTTAAATGTAGCTTATTATACAAAAATATTTTGTTAATGTTACATAAATATAAACTGAAAGAATTTGATGGTTTTATTTTGATTTTGTAAATTTAAAGCTTTAGGATTCAGTTTGGAAAGCAGCTGGGGCTCTGGACGAGCTGGACCAAGTTACAGTATGCCAGTTCATGCTGCAGTACAGATGACAACGGAGCAGGTTGGCTTCATTTTGCTTCGAAAAGTTAATTCAGGGACCAGAGAGAGAGTAGAGTGTGAAGGCGCTTGCCTGAACGACACCTGGCACATGTGTGACCCCTTGAGCAGTGCTGGCGTAATTACTTAAGCACAGCCAGGTTGATGCCCGAGCGTATCACTGGTGTTTCACACTTGGATGTGGCTTAATTAACACATTGCAGCAACAGAATCAATGTGTTAAAAGAGCAAGGTAAATATGTATGTGGTTTAGAATGTGCGGCTTCATGGCTGTAATAATAGTACCACGGTAGACTCCTGCTTGCCTTGCACATGCCGGATACGGGTTTGAACCTGGTACCTCATATGTTCCCCTGAGCACTGCTAGGAGTAATTCCTGAGTGCACAGTCAGAAGTAACCCTCAAGTACCACCAAGTGTGGCCTCAAAACAAAAATGTGCGGCTTCTTCTGTGTGCTGGTGATAGTAATCTTCAGATGTGTTGTTATTATAGACTTGGATTATTGTAGTTTTTTTAAAAAAATGGGACATTGATAGAGAATGTATTTATGTACAAAGTCATATAAACAGTAAACCAGTTAATTGCATAGTTTTCCATTCATGGTCTATTGTATATTTATTTTTAAAATGTATAAGTAATTTATATCTTAGTCTTAATAAAAAATAATTGGAGTTTAAAACTTTAACTCCTTTCAGCAAAGTTGCAAATACAGTATCAAAAATTAATTCCAGATTTTTGACACTATATTTCAATATCCCAAATTGCAAATTACTTTGTTCAATTTGTAATCTGGGATATTGAAATTACATCAGATTACTCTCACCCACCCCATAAATGTTAGCCCTATTATATTCTTTTTTTTTTCCTTTTTTTGTAGGAGTACTGCTATTTATTCAGCCACTGATTAGCTGATTGAATTGTGCATGAACTCCACAGCCCTATTATATTCTAATTTTTCCATGCTCATTGTTGGAAGAACTTGAGTCTGGTGGCAAATTCCAGATAATATATCAAAAATTTGTATTTTAAAACTGATTTTCTGACTACTGCTGTATATTTATTGTTAATTTACAGAAATAGTTATAATACATGTGCTTTGCTCTAATTTAGAGGTCCCCGAATTTATTCTACATACCACCCTCTTTTAAGAAAGCACCCCATCACTCAGAGCCTCCTTGGAAATCTACTATAAGTGTTCCTTATATACATCTGAGACAGTTAACCACCCTCTCCTGTCACCCACTTTGGGAAACTGATCTAATTAGACATACAATTTCAGTGTAGTAGTGTATATGTTGCTTTGTTTTGAGATTGTTCAGTCAGCCCAGAAGTTTTTGCAGGCCTTGGTTGGGGAGAGGGATTTGCACATTACCCAATAGTTCTTAGGGAATTTGGATGCTAGGGAATGAACCCCAGTTGGCCACATGCAAGGCAAATTTCTGTACTGTCTCTTCAACCCATATAGCGGTCACTGCCACTGTCCTCCCGTTGTTCATTGATTTGCTCCGGGCACCAGTAACATCTCCATTGTGAGACGTGATACTGTTTTTGGCATATCGTAGGAGCAGAGGACTCAAATCGGGGTCGGCCTGGGTCAACTGCAAGGCAAATACCCTACCCGCTGTGCTATTGCTCCAGCCCCATAATGCAGTTATTTTATTTAATTTTTTGTGTAGGGAAGAGGGGAGTGCCGGGTGGTGCTTGTCATACCCTGTAATGCTCAAGGACTACTACTGGCTTTGCCCAGTACTTGGGGTATGCAGTGCTACAGGACTCCAACAGGGTTCACTGCATGCAAAGAAAGTACCTTAATCCCCTGTATTTTATCTCTGGTACCCCCAGTTCACTTAACTGTAATAGTATATAGTTATTTCTTGATTGCAGTAATAATAAATCCTGTTATTAATGTGAAAAAGTCATGTGACTGCAATTCTGTGGCTGTATGGGGTGACTTTGTCTCCGTCATGCAGCACTTACGAACCTTTGAGAATCCACTGCCCTAGGTTCAGGGAATTGTTGCACATTCCCAGGGTCTCTGTGACCAGTGGATGGCCACATAGGTACCTGGTTGCTTCTCCTAAAATGGTTTAAACCCAACAAAGAGAATAACTAAATTTTTGGCATAATGCACCTTGAAGACATTTTAAATCTAGTTTCCTTCTTTTAAAGAATAAGATAGAAGGGCCACAAAGTTGAAGTTTCTTATTCAAAATTACGGATTTCTTTTTCTTCTCCTTTTGAGGCAAAGCTGTGAGCAAAGAAGGCCGGAATTTATCAGTCTCTACTCTTATATTCATAGTGAAGCAATTTTGTCTTCAACCAAAACACACCTATTCAGTCTTCCGTAAATGGATAGTGGGGTATCTCGAGTTAATTTATTAACATTAATTTACTAGTGTTAGTTTATTAACATTCCACTCTTATAATTATTAGTTGAAGTCTATGAATTAAATGTATTTTCATGGATTTTTATAGTGTTTCTCATTCGTTTTAGCTTAAAACAGAATTTGACAAATTGTTTGAAGATTTGAAAGAAGATGATAAAACTCATGAAATGGAACCAGCAGAGGTAATGTTATTCTCTATTAAAACATTTTTGGGACTGGGGTTGTAGCTCATTGGTGAAGCACCAGTTTCACATACAGGAGGTTCTGATTGCTTCCCCCATTCTCCCTCCAGAAGTGAACAACTTAAGTGTATGTGCTGCTGAAGCAGGCACAAGAAATGAACAGCTTGAATGAAAAGAAAAGTAGGATCACAAAATAAGTTGTTTGTGATAAAAAGAACACATTTTTATTATTCAGATTTTTCAAATTCTGCATGTAGAGAAGAAGTTACTGTGTTTCTGTTAATAGTTTTCTTTTATTTTTAGGCTATTGAGACACCATTGCTTCCACATCAGAAACAAGCTCTAGCCTGGATGGTTTCACGAGAAAATAGTAAAGAACTTCCACCGTTCTGGGAACAGCGTAATGATTTATACTATAATACAATAACAAACTTTTCTGAGAAGGAACGACCAGAAAATGTTCATGGAGGAATTTTAGCTGATGACATGGGCTTGGTAATTATTTTTTTTTCTTCTTGCTAAGGTTTTATTTGGTAGTTCCACTTTTAGAGAGAACAGTTTTGAGGTAGGTAAAAATATATTATGCCAGTTTGGGACTAGATTCTACCTCTATTATGGAACAGTTTTTCCTATATTTTTTGGCTTAAAATAATTCCATTTTGTTCGTTGGCTTTAAGGGTCAGTAAAATATTAGTTTTGGGTTTTCCTTTTTCCCTTTTTGTTTGGGCTGGGGTGTGTTGTTCTGTTGTGCTGTGTGGAGTTGGTGAGTAGGGATTTGGGCCGCACTTGCAGTGCTCAGGAGTTCTTGGTGTGGTGCTGTGGATCAGACCTGGCCCTCATGCATGCAGTGTATGATTTCCTTTGAGCTGTCTTTCTGTCCGTATCTAGCTATATTTTCTTTGGGGAGCTTCGTGGTTTCAGTGTAAAAAGTTTTTAATCCTTTAAATTTTTGTTTTTAAATTTGGAGTAAGATAGTAGTATACTTTCTTGTGACTATCCAAAAATACAATTAATTTTTTATTGAGGTGAAATGCTCAGGAGCTATTCTTGGCTTTGTGCTTTGGAGTAACCCCAGGCGTTGCTTGGAGGACCCATTTGCAGTGCAGGTCGGCCACATTGAAGGCAAATCCTTAACTCCTGTATGATTTCTCTGGCCAAATAGTTTTGGTTTGGGGTTCATACCTGTCTCCACGCTCGGGGATCATTTGTAGCAGTGCTGGGAGACCATATGTGATACCAGGGATCCAACCTGGGTCAGCCTCATTTAAGACAAGCACCCTACTCACTTTACTATCTGACCCTTAGAATTGTATATATATTTGTGTGTGTGTGTGTGTGTATGTACATATATATGTATATATATTTATTTTAGTACAAAATAGCTATCCCAAAATAGAAATCCTTTTGACGAGAAGATTGGTTTTGGTATTGTTTTGCAGTTTTACAGTTCTCTTCATGGTCTAATAGATATAGCATAATCATCATCTGCTATTTATTTATTTATTTATTTATTGAATCACTGTGGGAAAGGTTACAAAGCTTTCAGGTTTATGTCTCAGTCATGCAAATATCAAACACATTTCCCTTTACCAATACTTATTTTTTACCCTGAAGAACCCCAATAAAACCCCACCCCCCACCCCTCCCCATCCCTGTGAGGCAGATGAATTCTAGTTAACACTCTATCTGCTTTGATTAGATTCATTATTTCAATAAGATTCACCACTATTATTTAGAGTTTACCCCCCCCCCCCCCCCAAATCAGACATGCTGAAAAAGCATTGTGAAGTGATTTGCTTTCTACAGCTGGGTTCAAGAATTAAATGTTGGTTTTGGATTTCTGCTATTTTACCTATTGACCCTGGAAGTATTTCTACTGAAAGTCAGATAGTTAAGAAATTGGTTTCTGTGTTCTGGAGTCGTGGCCGTGCTGGAGAGCCGCTAGTGAGGGGCAACCGGTGGCCTCGGTAGGGCGTGAAGGGCGGAGCGAAACGCCCCCCTTCCCATGAGGTTTTAGTCACCCCCACACTCCCGGCTCATACCTGCTGTCCACAAGGCTCCCATGTGGCCGCCATCTTTCTTTCCAGAGAGGAGAGGGCGAATGGGGCAACACCCTTTCCCCTCCGGCAGACTTGCTGGGCTGGATCAATGCATAGTCCATTCACTTTTCTGCTCCAAGCTGCTGGGTTCTGCATTAAGTCCTTGTGCTTCTAGGGCCATGGCCGTGCTGGAGAGCCGCTCGCGGGGGGTGACTGGTGACCTCGGTAGGGCGTGAAGGACGGACCGGAACGCCCCCCGACCCATGAGGTTTTAGTCGCCCCCACTCCCCCGGCTCATACCTGCTGTCCACAAGGCTCCCATGTGGCCGCCATCTTTCTTTCCAGAGGGAGGAGGGCGGAAGGGAGCAACACCCTTTCCCCTCTGGGCAGAAATGATTGCCTGGATTAATGCATAGTCCTTTCACTTTTCTGCTCCAAGCTGCTGGGTTCTGCATTAGGTCATTGTGCTTCTGGGGCTGTGGCCGTGCTGGAGAGCCGCTCGTGGGGGGCAACTGGTGACCTCGGTAGGGTGTGAAGGACGGACCGGAACGCCCCCCTTCCCATGAGGTTTTAGTCGCCCCCACACTCCCGGCTCATACCTGTTGTCCACAAGGCTCCCATGTGGCCGCCATCTTTCTTTCCAGAGAGGAGAGGGCGAATGGGGCAACACCCTTTCCCCTCCGGCAGACTTGATGGCCTGGATCAAGGCATAGTCCGTTCACTTTTCTGCTCCAAGCTGCTGGGTTCTGCATTAAGTCCTTGTGCTTCTGGGGCTGTGGCCGTGCTGGAGAGCCGCTCGTGGGGGGCAACTGGTGACCTCGGTAGGGCGTGAAGGACGGACCGGAACGCCCCCCTTCCCATGAGGTTTTAGTCGCCCCCACACCCCTGGCTCATACCTGCTGTCCACAAGGCTCCCATGCGGCCGCCATCCTTCTTTCCAGAGATGAGAGGGCGAATGGGGCAACACCCTTTCCCCTCTGGGCAGAGATGATGGCCTGGGTTAACTCATCGTCCGTTCACTTTTCTGCTCTAAGCTGCTGGGTTCTGCATTAAGTCCTTGTGTTTCTGGGGCTGTGGCCGTGCTCCAAACTTAACTCTGATTTTCAGGGAGAAAGATTGGGTGGTTTACTTCTCATTGATCACTTTGTATATAGAGAGATGTCGCGCGGCCGCATAAGCGGCCGCACGGTTTTGAGAAAAAGTCCTCGTTCCCGCATACTCGAGCTGTGTTTTTAGAGGCTTCTGGTCACCGGGGTTCCATCTGGCGGAGGCGGGATGCGGCGCCTACTCCATCTGGAACTTGCCGGTCATCTCGGCTCTTTTTGGAACCTGTTTTTTCTTTTTTTTTTTCCTCCGGGATCCCGCACCCTCCATGTGTTCCTTCTCTTATGTCATCTGCTATTTTGTTCAGTCTTGTAATACAGGGTTTTAGGTGAAATATAGAAAAATCAGTCCTCACGCCACAAGTACATAGTTGGAAAAGAGAGTAGTATTTTAATAATCTTTGTAGAATCTTGTAATTATTCTTTTATACAACAAAATGAAACATTAATTTGCATTATATATTTATATTTTAAAATGTTTGTAATATTTCTTAAATACATACTGTATCACTGTCATCTCATTCATCAATTTACTTGAGTGGACGCCAGTAACGTCTCCATTCGTCCCAGCCCTTAGATTTTTCAGCCTCTCCTTGCTGGTCTTTCCCAATGCTGCTGTATTGGAGGCTCTTTCAGGGTCAGGGGAATGAGAGCCGTTATTTGTTACTGTTTTTGGCATATTGAATATGCCACGGGTAGTAGCTTGCTAGGCTCTGCCGTGTGAGCAGGATACTCGATAGCTTGCTGGGCTCTCCGAGATATATATATATATATATATAAAACACACACACGTGTATGTATTTCCCTCTATGATTTGTTGCCTACTGTCTGAACCCCATCAGATATGGTGAAGTAATTATGGAAAATGGGCAGGGAGTGTCTTATGATGTGCACCGTCCAGGAAGATGTTCACTCCTATGTGAGGCTCGGCCTGAGAGTGTGGAAAGCGGCCTGGAACGTGGCAGTGGTAGGGTAGTGGAGGTTGGCTACCGGGGCTGGGTCCTTTGGGGCCGGGAGGGCTTTGGGGCGCTCCGAGTAAAAACAGCCTGGTGCAGAGTCCGGTGGCATGGTTATGGGGGCCTCATTTTATGCTCCCTTCTGGGAGGAGCAGCTGTGATTTGTGGAAGATGGCTGATGAGATTATCTGGTGCAGGCAGGGGGTAGCTTAATGGGTGTGACCCTGGGATCTCTGCTCCCAGGTCCTTTTAAATACATACTTACTGCAGTAAGCATACACATATAGCTATATAACTTATATGTTACATTTATAATGTTAAACTTTAAAATTATTAAACTTGCATTTTTAAAAATAGAGTAGCTTAAATATTAAAGTGATATTTTGCTAATGTATGACTTAATAACATTAGACATTGCTCATTTGAATAATACTGGTTCATTGAGTTACGCATATTTGTCAAATGTTGATAATTTCATTTTACTATATTGAAATTTTACATTTGTTATCACAGTGCTTATTAGAAAGATCTTTACAGTTTAGGAAGCTGTTAGATTCGCTATTGGATACAGATTCTTATCTTGAAATCTCAGATTTCATCAGTAATTGTTTTCCTTAAAGATGATCACTTGATCTCCCGTTATTCATCGATTTACTCGAGTGGATGCCAGTAATGTCTCCATTCGTCCCTGTTGCGTGCTAGCGTAGCCCAATGGCATCTGTTCATTCTAGGAACATGCAGAGCCTCAAACCGATCATTCAGGGTCTTGACGAAGAAGTCCGACCATCTTGTAGGTGGGAGTCCACGCGATCTTTTGACGTCCCGTGGAATCCAGTCAGTAATGGCTCTAGTCCAGTGGTTGTCTGTAAACCTCATTACGTGTCCAGCCCATCTGATTTTTGATGTCTTGGCAAATGAGACAGCGTCCCTGATTCTTGAGCATTGACGGAGATCAGAACTCCGGATTCTATCTCTCATTTGAGTGAATCATGATATTCCAAGCATTGCTCTTTCGATTCCTCTTTGAGAGACCTGAATAGCGTTCTCATCCTGTTTTCGTGGGGCCCAGGTCTCTGAGGCATATGTTAATGCAGGAAGAACAGTGGAATCGAAGAGATGTGCTCGTAGCTGGAGGTTCTTTGTCCTCTTAGTTATTTCTTCAACGCTCTTGAAGGCATTCCAAGCCGCTCTCTTCCTCCTGCGTAACTCAGGTGCCAGGTCATTCATCGTGTTGATTACTCGACCTAGGTATATATAACTGTTGCATTTGGAGATGGTGGTTCCGTTGAGAGCGAATGGAGCGTCAGGAACAAGGCTGTTTCTCATAAACATTGTCTTCTTAAGATTCAGCTATAGTTCGACCTTTCCACACTCACAGTCGAAATCGGTCAGCATTTGTGCCGCTTGGCTGATATTTGGTGTTATTAGAACGATGTCATCAGCAAAGCGGAGATGGTGTAGTTGCCGACCATCTATCTTCACTCCCATTTCTTCCCATTCCAGTCGTCGCATGATGTTCTCGAGGGTGGCATTGAAGAGTTTTGGTGAAATGGTATCACCCTGCCGAACCCCTCCCTTGACATGGATGATTACTTCTTTGTAGAATGGTGAGATCCTGGTAGTGAATCCGTAATAGAGCTCGCGGAGGATCCTGATGTATTGAGTTTGTACGCCCTGATTGGCTAGGGCTTCTATGACCGCTTCCGTCTCAACAGAATCAAAGGCCTTCTTTAAATCAATGAACGTTAGACAGAGCGGCATCTTGAACTCCTGAGAAACCTCAGTGAGCTTAGTAATCGTGTGGATATGGTTGATGGTACTGAATCCTTTTCGGAACTCAGCTTGTTCACATGGTTGTCCTTCATCTAGTGTTCTGCTAATTCTATTCAGGATGACTCGACTGAACAGTTTGTAGATGACAGACAATAGGCAGATTGGGCGATAGTTGCCAATGTCGTGGATGTCTCCCTTCTTGTATAGTAGTACAGTCTTGCTGGTTTTCCAGTGGGACGGAACCTTGCATTCAGACAGGTAGCGAGTGAAGAGCCGAGCCAGTGTATTGATGAGTACTGATGGTAAGTTCTTCAGGTGTTCAGTTCTGATCTTGTCTGGGCCTTAAAGATGATAATTTTGTTAAATATAGCACAGTGGTAAGGCATTTGCCTTGCATGCAGCCAGCCCGGCCAAGCCGGGTTCGAGTCCTCCGCCCCTCTCGGAGAGCCTGGCAAGCTACCGAGAGTATCTTGCCCGCACGGCAAAGCCTGGCAAGCTACCCGTGATATATTCGATATGCCAAACACAGTAACAACAAGTCTCAAAAAATGGAGATGTTACTGGTGCCCGCCTGAACAAATCGATGAACAACGGGAGGACAGTATTTGATTGTTTCCTTGGGGGCCACATTTGTTACTGCTCAGGTGCTCTTTCTGGCTCTTGTCAGGAGTGACTCTTGGGACTCTGAGTAGAGTTGGCCCATACAAGGTGAGCCGGTTATCCTCCTATTAGGATCTTTCAGTCACTTTCCTGTGTTCACTTTTCAAGAAAATGCCATTCATGACCCCTGTCATTGATAATTTCAGTTAAAAAATAGTTATGAATGAAAAGTTTATAGTGCATGCTGGTATGTGGTGACTATTTAAGCTTGCAGTTCGTTTTTTTTTCTTCATTTTTTTTTTTTTTATAATTTTAGTTACTGAGAGCAGTTACAAAGCTTTCGGGTTTAAGTCTCAGTCATACAATGAAACACTCATACCTTCACCAGTGCCCATTCTCCACCACCAAAAACCCCAGTATACCCCCATCCCACACCCTCCCTTTACCTCTGGGGATTTCCACATTACTCTCTCTCTACTTTGATCACATTCAATATTTTGACACCAGACCCACCATTATTATTTTTGATTTTACCCCAACACTCAGATCTGCTGAAAAGGCAGCGGTAGACAATTTGTTTTCTATTGCTGGTTAAGAATAACATACGAAGTCGTGTGGCTGCAGATGTGAACGCGTGGTTTTGAAATTCTGAAATTTTAACACTTAACTCTGGAGGGATTTCTGCCCAAACCTGCTGGGTTCTGAGATTTGTTCCTGAGTCTCTGAGATCATGGCCGTTGAGCAGCTTGATCAGGAGCCGAGAGGCCGTTCGTGGGCGGCGAAGCGGGTCGCAGTTCGTTCTTGCAAGTGCTATTTCTTTGCTATTTCTATAGATGGGCTGGAGCGGTAGCACAGCGGTAGGGCATTTGCCTTGCACGCAGCCAGCCCGGCTGAGCCGGGTTCGATTCCTCCGCCCCTCTCGGAGAGCCCGGCAAGCTACTGAGAGTATCTCGCCTGCACGGCAGAGCCTGGCAAGCTACCCGTGATGTATTTGATATGCCAAACAGAGTAACAACAGAGTCTCCAATGGAGACGTTACTGGGCCCGCTCGAGCAAATCGAAGAACAACGGGAGGACAGTGTGTTTGTTCTATAGATAACCTTACTTTTTAATCAGCAGATGTATTTTATGTGAATTACTTATTTTTTCATTTGGAGTATTAAAAAGTTGATATGAATAATGTGTAGAGAATTATTAAAGTGTGGCTGGCATTTTGTTTTTTTTCACTTAGAATAGTTATGTGGTCGGTAAGAATATGGTGGTCCCTGCTGTAATATATCACCAACGTATTTGTTTTATGTTAAGGTACCAGTAATTTTATTCTCTTTGCTTTTGTGGCATCACTATATTATACCACAAATAAAGTTTTTTGAAAATAGTTTTAACTGCATTTATCATTACTAAGATATCAACACAAATAAGATTTTATAAATATAGTTTCAATTCCTTATACTGTTAAGAGTTATAGGGACCAACTGCTACAATTTGGTAGTATGTTTTCAAGAATATGAAATGTGGAAATACACAGTATAAATGCTTTTACACTGTTTTAAAAATGGCCAAATTTAAAAGTTTCTAATTAGCCAATTAGCTATGGGAAATAATGAAAAACTACATTTAAGAAATACAAAACATTGGGGCTGGAGCAATAGCACAGCGGGGAAGGCGTTTGCCTTGCATGCAGCCAACATGGCCGATACAGGTTCGATTCCCAGCATCCCATATGGTAGGAGTGATTCCTGAGTGCATGAGCCAGGAGTAACCCCTGAGCATTGCCGGGTGTCACCCAAAAAGCAAAAAAAAAAATACAAAACGATGTCCTTTATTTTTTATGGTTAAATTACAGCTTTTAAATTTTAGTACAACTTTTAAATTTTAGTATTATCTTTAATCAGATTTTAAAAGAGAATTATATCCTGTATATATGTGTATATATGGGAACTACATGTCATTTTATATTTGCTGTGAATTTCATGGCAAGCCAATATTTATAGTTTCATGATAATGACTCAGTTAAATGTAAAAGTCTTGAATAGCAGATATTCCAAATTATTGATATGCTTTCATTTTTAGAATAAATAATTTAACATAGAAATATTAGAAAGTTCAAAATAATCAGTGTTGGAAGGCATTTTGTAACTAAATCAATTCACTCATATGTCCTTGAATGGTATTTGGTAATGTGATTTTAAAATTGATTTGGGGTGTTTTCTGGCCAACTGTATTCAGAATCTGACTTCTGTTTCTGTTTTAAACTTTAAAGGGCAAAACTCTTACAGCCATTGCAGTAATTCTTACAAACTTCCATGATGGTAAACCTCTTCCTGTTGAAAGAACTAAGAAAAATCAACTGAAGAAGGTACAGTATTGCATTTTCTCGAAAGTTTCCGATTTATTATTAAAACCTGTTCATTTTGCACCCAAATTAATATCTGATGTTTTCAGAGCTCTTTAATGTGTTAATCAGAGTGAGAGTTGGTACCACACACTTGAGGAAAGTATGGTAATAGTTTTAAGGATATTAAATTTGCTTAATCTTTGATTTAGTAATGCCGCTTTAAACAAATGAATGCATTATTTCCCCAAAATAAAAGAACTTTATTTTGAAGGCAGGGCATTTGAGACATCACATAGGAATGGTGCTTGTTAAATTATAACATAGCTGTAAAATTTGATATGTAATTACAATTTCTATTTTTGAAGTCCACTGGCTTTCCTGTATTTTAGTTAAAAAAAGCTGTGCATTTGCATATAGTATTCCCATCAATACATATTTGTGTATTTTAAAGTGTATAGACTATAAGCCAACACTATAGACCAAGATGTTAATATTAATGCTCATATCCTAATGATGAGAATATGGGTAATTCTTGATAGTTTATATGTGTAGTGTTGTATATTGTAGCATAACAACAAAGTCTCCAATGGAGACATTACTGGGCCCGCTCGAGCAACATTTATGCTATTTCTAATGAATCCGCTCAGAAGGCAAAATAAGCTGTTAAGTAGAACAGTTCTTTTCTGCCAGTAATGTAGAGATAACAAAGTAGGAAAGAACTAAGCAGAAAATGATATTCAGAATAAAGCTTTTGGATTCTCCGCTCAACTCCCTGCTCGGGGTTCCGCCCGAATGGTGCTCCTGGTGACTGGAAGAGAGCGAGAATGTGCCCCTAGCCAGCCTGTGGTGCATCTCTCTGACCCAAGTAGCGCTTTTGAACTCTTAGTATTTCGCTTTCTGAGTTTTCAGAGAGGCAGCTCACTTCTTAGTGAGTTTTTAAAAATTTGTTTCTCTACTTACTTGGAATTTAAACCATAAGTTTCTAAGGTATAGTTACCTACCTTGAATTTGAATAGTTCCAATTTTTTGCATCCTATAATTGATTATTAAAATTGAAAAATAGTACTTAAAACTCTGGCAGTTTCATTGTCAGTCATTAGTATAAAAATTGCCAAGTATCAGTAATCTTTTCCTTTTTTCCCCTTCCAAGGCAGCCATGCATTTAAGATGTCACTTAGTAGGGAGGTTTTTTTATAGTCTCCGTTTACATTTAAGATGTCACTTAGTAGGGAGGTTTTTATATAGTCTCCGTTTACTTGAAATAGAGGCTGAATATGTGATTTCTACTTAAGAATCACTGCAAAAATCTCCACTATTTTTGGTAGATAAGATATTCCAGAGTAAAAGTTCAGTGATAAATTTCCATTAGATGCAGAGTAGCCTGATTTGACATGTTGCATTTAGGAGGAAGCTTAGGCTGAACTCTACGAAGGAAGAGCTTGCTGAGCTAAAATAAAAAGAATGTAAAGGGCACCCTTGAAGGATAACCTATTAGAATTTTTTGGTACCCAGTTTAATATAAATGGTTGTATTAATAGCTAAAGAAAACTTTGGACTGAAGCAATATTACAGCTGGTAGGGTGGCTTGCTGGCATCCCATATGGCCCCCTGAGTACCAAAAAGAATAATTCCTATTTACAGAGCTGGGGGTATACCCCTGAGCATCTCTGGGTCTGGCTCAAAAACAGAAAAGGAAACTTAGTAGAATCTATTTTTAACATTTTTCTTGGAGCTGTAGGTTTTAAAAAGTTAAATATCTAAAGTTGTTAAATATCTTTAAAATTGTTGTATTTTGAACTTCAGACGTTTATTTAGACTTAATCCATGAGAAAGGGTTGGATCTTTACAACCACATATTTCACTGTCCTCCCGTTGTTCATCGATTTGCTCGAGTGGGCCCCGTAACATCTCCATTGTGATACTTGTTACTGGTTTGGCATATCGAATATGTCATAGGTAGCTTGCCAGGCTTTGCTGTGCAGGCGAGATACTCTCCGTAGCTTGCCGGCCTCTACGAGAGGGGCGGAGGAATCGAACTCTGGTCGGCTGTGTCGGCCGCGTGCAAGGCGAAGGCCCTACCCGATGTGCTGTCGCTCCAGCACAACCATATATTTAGTAAGACTTAAGTTTAACAAGACACTTGAAATTCTATTAGTCCTGGTTCTCAGTGAAAACTTATTTTGTATCTTGTCCACCAATCTCAGTCTCTACAGTTCTGATTCACAATATGTTATCACCTACTCTTTTAAAATTGAACTAGTTACTGTGTTTATATCCAGTTTCATTTGTTACTCCTGTCTACAAAATCAGAAATTAAAAATAACATTAGAGGAGCCCTGTTCCACTTAAAAATATGAAAAAGTATAAAATTTACTTTTATAGAACTTTCTGTATTTGTCTATATGTGGGTGCATTTTGAATCAAAACACTACACAAGAAAGAAGAAAGTTAGGATTAGCCAGTTAACCCCTGATCAAATCAGAAAGGAAATAGGCAATTAATAGCATCTGTGATATTTCCTCGTACTTAAGTTGGGAATTCCAGAGAAACAGTGGCAGTAATAGCTTTTTAATAATAGGTTATTTCCCAAGATAGTTTTGAAAACTTTCAGTCTAAAAATTCTTAATTATAAAATAAATTTTATTTTACAAATATTACAGTAGAGTGGTATTTATAATTAAGGTTTTCTTTTTGTATTTCTATTGAAAAAAGACTAGATTCCAATTTTTTTTTTGTATCTGAAAAAAAATTCGGCAGAGCCTGGCAAGCTCCCCGTGGTGTATTTGATATGCCAAACACAGAAACAACAAGTCTCACAATGGAGATGTTACTGGGCCTGCTCGAGCAAATCAATGAACAGCGGGAGGACAGTGCTACAGAAAAAATATTAATTTTTTAGTTATCCCATAATTCATCTTCATCTGTAGTTCCAGAATGGGACATCAATTTATGTTGTTTTATGTTAAGGAGGACATAGTACTGTATCACTGTCCTCCAGTTGTTCATCACTTTGCTCGAGCAGACCCAGTAATGTCTCCATTGTGAGACTTGTTATTACTGTGTTTGGCCTATCGAATACGTCACGGGGAGCTTGCCAGGCTTTGCCGTGCGGGCGAGATACTCTCGGCAGCTTGCCGGGCTCTCCGAGAGGGGTGGAGGAATTGAACCTGGCTCGGTCAGGCTTGCAGCGTGCAAGGCAAGCTCCCTACCACTGTGCTAAGTAGGACATAAATAGTATGCATTTTAAATTTATCTAAAACTAACTTTAGAACTTTGTAAGTAATACTCCTTCTTATGTAGGAAAGTAATATTAAGGATGAGTCTGTGAAACTTGGAAGAAACAGTACCAATGAAAAGACTGATGGATTAGTCAAAGGTAAACTTTCATTTTTGATATTTTATTTTATTTTTTATTTCCCATATCTGCCAGTGTCCAGGGCTTACTTCTGGCTGTGTGCTCAGGAATCACTCCTGGAATTGCTTAGGGGACCACATGCGGTACTAGGATTGAACCAGGGTCAACTTTGTTCAAGTCATTCACCCAAACCCCTGTTCTGTTTGATTCCTAAACTTTAAATATGACCCCACATTTGATTTAGATCTTTCCAGTTTAGTCCTTTAAATCCAAACTTTGGTTTTTGTACTGTAGGAAATTTTTTTGTTTTGATTTTGAACCACATCCAGCTGTGCCCAGGGTTTATTTACTCTTGGCTCTGTGCTCAGGTATAACTCCCGGCATTCTCAGGACCATTTGGGGTGCTGGTGATGGGACCTGGGTCAGACAGGTGCAAGGCAAGCACCTTATCTTCTGTGCTATCTCCCTAAAATTTGCATTTATAAAGAATTGAGTTAGAACTGCTGGAAAATTTTTATTTTGGAGATAAACTGAACTTGACTGATAGTGCTAGTTCACTTAGAGAAGTTGAGGAAAATAATTTTTGGTTGAGATGAAAAAATTAATTAAAAATGTGTTGCTTTTGTTTCAGCTTTGTACCATACTCAGTGGTGTTCAAGGGTATTACTCCTGGCTCTGTACTCGGAATTATTCCTGGCTGTGTTCAGGGGCCATATGGGTTGTCGGGGACCGAACCTGGGTTAGCTATGTGTAATGCAAACACCCTACTAATGTACTGTCACTCCGACCCTAGAGATGTGTTTTTGAAGCCTTGATAGCTTTTTGATTTGGTAGGTATTTATATTAACGGGCAATAATAGCAGTAGATAAGGAGAGGAAGATAGATTCAAGCCAAATTTTAAACTTAGGAGAAATACGGTGTCTAGTTTAACACTTGTATGACTTGATTTAGCAGTTAATTTAGTTAGTGATTTCTTAGGATTGTTTAGAGCTGATGGAGATAGATTTCAAATTATGAATGGTAGGCGAAGTGTTAAAACTGTGCCGTTAGGAATTTTAAATTTAAGATAAGAAAGATAAATGGGGGCCTGAGAGATAGTATGCAGGTTAAGATTCTTGCCTTGCATGCAGCCCAGTTCTATCCCCAGTTACCCATGTGTTGTCCCCTGAGCAACATCAGGCAGCCCTGAACACTGTGGGGTGTGACCCCCCCTCCCCCAAGAGAAATAGTGAAGTCTGCAGAATTGAGTACTCCTTTTGGTGTGTTAAGGGTGTTTAAGAAAAATCCATGGTAGTAAGAATATGGTGATGATGGGAGAATGCTTTGTAGGCCTGATCAAGAGAATAGATGAATTAAAATTAGAAAGAAAGGAAAAGAAGATGAAAGAAATAGAAAGGCAGGCTAGGGGCTGGAACGATAGCACAGCGGGGAGGGCGTGCACGCGACTGACCCAGTTTTGATCCCCAGCATCCCATACGGTCCCCTGAGCACACCCAGGAGTAATTCCTGAGTGCAGAGCCAGGAGCAACCCCTGAGCATAGCTGGGTGTGACCCAAAAAACAAAACAAATAAAAATAAATAAAAAGGAAAGGCAAGCTAGCTATAGGAGTTCATGAAAGATGACATCTGATTTTCCTTGTGAAATGCTATAGGTTGTGTGCTTAGATTATAGGTAGTTAACAGACTAGGGGTTGAGTATAATGTGGATTATTCTGGTGAGTAGATAAGAAGACTGCATGATTATGTGTCAGAGTTCTCAGGAAGTTAAAAGCCTAAACTTGGGGTCCTATGTAATACGAATTATTCCACTGAGGGGATTATATAATGATTTGTAAGAGTTTGCTGGGTGACAAAGGCAACAGCTGAGATTGAAAATGTCAGTTTACAGTGACACCTGTTTCTTGTTTATTTTATCCAGCAGCTCTAAGCTGCCTTGCTTAAGCTTGAAATTCAGCTAGTAGTGACTGTTGACTAGATGACTATAGGTAAAAAGTGGGCACAAAAATTGAAGGTACTACTAATGAGAAAATACCAGTTACAAAATAGTAAACTGACAGGTCACTGAGAGAACAGAAATGAAGGTGTTAGAGTATTGAGTTGGAAAACCAAAGTCTTAAGAAGCATACTTGAAGTCCAGTACTATTCACTAATGCTGTTTATTTGTCCTTTTTTTGAAATAGAGGGATCTAGATGTAGTGGAGAATCCAGTATTTCAGATGTCAAAGAAAAAAATAAATATTCTAAATCAGAGTTATCTAGCTCCCGCCCTAAAAGGTAAACTCTAGTTTTATCATATATGTTGTTGAGACTGTATGTTTTCTAACATATAGGAAATAAATATGACCGTTATACCTCAATTATGTAGCTATTTCAAATACATTCTTTCACTGAAACTGCTCAAGTCACTGTGACTTCAGGTGAACTGTTTTTACTTCGTAGGTTAATAAAACTCATTATTAACCGTTAACAAGTGACTTTGTAATCAGGGTTTTTCCACCATCCCATTTCTCTTGCTCCCTGGAACTTAGATCTAGCTTCTGAGTTCTGGGTTCTAGATAAGACTAAAAGAGTTTTATGACTTTAAGGAGAGAAAACTGGCAGATACATACTGAATGTTTGACAGAGTGACTAAGTGCACAACTTGATCCTTAATGGAAGCAAAAGAAGATAAGTTATTTATAGAAGTTTTAACAGTATAGAGGGAGAATATGAATGAAATGCATAATGCCCTTGGATCCAAAAATTTCTTTTTAGCTTCTGAAGTAGATTTACCTTGTAAGGTAGATCTCAATACTAGATTTTGTATTTTCTGCCATCAAATTCTGTAGCCATAGAAGGAGTTATTAGTCGATGAAAAAGATTTCAAAACTGGGTCTTGTTTTCTATCATAAAATCTTTCATCTCACACCAAATTCTCAAATTTTACATCTCTGAACTAGCCATGAATTACCTAATCACCCAAATAACAGCATACTGTGTAGTTCTTATCAGATTAAAGGATATTGATAATATTAATGAAGAGGACATAAGAGAAATTAATAATAACCAACAAATACTGCAGCAGCTTACATATACCTACTATACAATAGCCACTAATTTGGGGACTATTGTCTAATAACACACTTTTTTTGTAAAGAGGTTTACTTTTTTTTGGGGGAGTCACACCTGCACAGGGGTTACTCCTGGGTTTGTACTCAGGAATTACCCCTGGCAGTGCTTAGGGGACCATATGGGATGCTGGGGATCGAACCCGGGTAGGCCGCGTGCAAGGCAAACGCCCTACCCGCTGTGCTATCTCTCCAGCCCAGAGAGGTTTACATTTTTATCCCAATTTTCCAAATGAGAAAACTGAGGCACAAAAATTATTTGGCGACTTGTCTCAAGTCAGATAGCAAATAAATGATAGATTGGGCATTTGAATTCCACGTTTATTGTTTTTATGCACTTAGCTGTGCTGCTACTATACATTTTACAAAATTCATGAAATTTTTTATTGTGAAGAATCAGATTTTTATGCAAGAATTACAAGTCATTTTGAAAGAATTTAATGTTAGCTTGTTGGAATTTTTGTTTGAGAAATTCTTTCACTAGCTTAACGTTTTAATTGAATCAGTCAGTATCGAACTCATTGAAAGGATACCTGTTTCAGAATGGTTTCCTTTTTCATCCTTTCTAATGTAGTGGTACTGTTTTTATATAGTAAACAAAGGTTGTTATGAAAATAAGTCATCTAGAGAAGTTGATATCAGTTTAAGAGTTTCCCTGGAGTATTTTTCCATAAATTCACAGAAGCAAGACAAATACTTAAATATTGCCTTATTAACATATGTGTATATATTTCATTTTGTTATGGATTGATTTTAAAAAATTGTGTATATTAAATTTCAGAAGAAAAACTATTATCCAGTACACAGAAAGTAGTGATTCAGAGGAAGTTGAAACAAGTGAATTGCCACAGAAAATGAAAGGTAAAAATGAAATGTATTTCATTCAGTAATGTGCTCTGTTATCTCTCTTCCTGGTGTGACTTTTATGATTTTGTTTTTAGGCAAGCTGAAAAATGTCCAGTTGGAGAGTAAAAGCAAAGTAAAAGGTAGGTATATGTATATACATACACCTCAATACCTAAATATACATATAACACATATAATATACATTTAGAGATAATTAAAGTAGCAACTCTCCACTAACTGGTATCTCTATAGCTTGGAATTCTTTTTATTTTTTTTTTTCTCTTTGGTTTCTGTATCATACTTTTATCCCACAATGTTGGGAACTATTCCTGGCTTTGTACTTGGAGTCACTTCTTATAGTACTCAGGGGAATCACATGGTGCCAGGAATCAAACCTGGGTGTCTAGCATGTAGAACATATGCTCAGCCCGTTGAGCTCTCTCTCCAACTCTAGCTTGGAATTCTTTAGTAAGAATTTTAACCTTGTCTGCTGCGAGTGTTGGAACTAATGTTCATAGAGCTTAGCTTATGTTAAATGGATAAGGCAAGTTGAAAAAGTACTTGAAATTTAGATATTAAGAGATTTGGGGCTGGAGCAGTAGCACAGCGGGTAGGGCGTTTGCTTGCACATGATTGACCCGGGTTGCACATGATTGTCCCAGCATCCCTTGAGCACCGCCGGAGTAATTCTTGAGTACAGAGCCAGGAGTAATCCCTGTGCATCGCCAGGCATGACCCAAAGAGAGAAAAAAAAAAAAGAGAGAGAGATTTATATATATTTTGGAGGGGGGGGGGCTTTTTGGGTCACACCCGGCATTGCTCGGGGTTACTCCTGGCTCTGCACTCAGGAATTACTCCTGGCGGTGCTCGGGGAACCACATGGGATGCTGGGAATCAAACCCAGGTTGGCCGCGTGCAAGGCGCCCTGCCCGCTGTGCCCCATGGGGGCGGCGGTTTCTCTTGTTGCTATTCCCAAGGCCATGTCGTGTCGGATTGAACCTCAGCCTTCTGCAGGCAAAACTTGTGCTCCAGGCCATTGTCTTTCTTGCCCTTAAGAGTTAATTTAAAATTTTTTTTTTTTAACTTAAGCCTTTTATTTATTTATTGAGGGATGGGGTGCCCAGGGCTTATTCTTGATTCTGCACAGAGTACTCCTTGCAGTACTTGGGGAACCGTATGTGGTGTTGGGAATTGAACCGGGGTCAACTGGACAAGTCCCTGACCTCGTATTTTAAAAAGTTATTTAAACCTTTAAACAAAATGAATTATTCTTTATCAGGTAACTTTAATGAACTCTTAATTTTAATATCTGTAAACCACACACATATATCTTAGAAATAAGTTCTACTTTATTGAGGAAAAATCTTGTCAACAAATTGCAGGTTAATTATGTTAAATTCTTCATAGTATTTCACATTTTAAGTTATAATTATTATGATGGTCAGTGATTTTTTAAAAATTTTCCTTGTGTTACTAGGAATTCAATTCCTGGGCCTCACACACACAAAGCATGTGCCTAACCCATGAGCCACATTTTTGACCTAGTGTTACTTTTGTCATTTTTGGGAGAGGGTGTCTTAGTCTACACTTATATAAGATGAATTTTATAAATGTGTGTGCTCCACCTGCTGGTTTCCTTTCTGTTTTCCTGACACAGGAATCCTAAAGTTAGGCCAGTTAACTGTAATGATTTCTTATAATCAAGTGAACAGATGAATTACATGTATCAGCCTCAATTTATAGATTAGAAATGTTAAATTTAGACTTGTATGTTGAAAACAGGCAAAAACTAGACCTTTTGCCCTTGTGAACAAAGTTGTGATGCAAAGGAAAATTTTTTATTTTATTTATTTAATTTTTTTTGCTTTTTGGGTCACACCCGGCGATGCTCAGGGGTTACTCCTGGCTCATGCACTCAGGAATTGCTCCTGGCCGTGCTCGGGGGACCATATGGGATGCTGGGAATCGAACCTGTGTTGGCCATGTTGGCTGCGTGCAAGGCAAACGCCCTGCCCGCTGTGCTATTGCTCCAGCCCCTAAGGAAAAATTTTTGAAGAAAATTACTGATAGTTTTCCAGCGAACACAAGAATGATAAGGAAACTAAGGAGCTTTGTTATTGATGTGAAAAAAGCTTGCGTGGTCTGGATAGAAGATCCAATCACCATTGTTACCTCTAGTGAAATCCTCGCCAGAACCTGCTACAACTTTTCAGTCCTCCGAAGACCACAATAGGTGAGAAAGCTGCTGAAGCAATATTTAGTTATTAGAGGTTGGTTTATGAGTTTGAAGGAAAGAACCAATCTCTTTGTACAAGGCGAAGCAGCAAGTGATTATGTAGAAGTGCAGCAAGTTAAGAAAAGAAAAAGATCTAGCTGAGGGAGAGTAGTTATATGAAAAGGTTGACTTTCATAAATAAGAAACAGCCCTATCTTGGGAAAATCACATCTTGGACTCCTGGAGAGAAGTCAGTGCCTAGTTTCGAACTTCGAAAGACTGATTTTGTTGTTAGGAGCTAATGTAATTAGCTTAGTAATTGTGCCAAATCTATTTGCATGATCTCCAAGAGTGAGGCATAAAGCCTGCATGGTCACACATCTGTAACATGTCTTAAGCCTACTGTCAAGACCTAATTCCGGGAAAGGTTCCTTTCAAAAAGTGTTACTGCTTGACAGTGCACCAAGTACCCAGGAGTTCTGATGATGTCCAAGAGGATCAGTCTCGTTTTCATGCCTACTAGTGTCCATGATCAGGGAGTACTAGTTTTGTTTTTGAAGTCTAATTGAGAAATTTAGTTTCTAAATTTGCTGCCATAGATAGTGATTCTTCTGATGAATCTGGGAAAATTCAGCTGAAGATGGAGTCACCATATGCCATTGACAACATTTGTGATTCGTCGGAAAGAGATCAGAATCTCACCAGGAGTTCAGAAGAAGTTGATCTCAATTTTTATGACCGATATTTAGGGGGTAGAACCTTTTTTAGAAGTTATAACTACAAATATGGGGCTGGAGCGATAGCACAGCGGTCAGGCATGTTTGCCTTGCACGCGGCCAACATGGACAACCCGAGTTCAATTCCTCTGCCCCTCTTGGAGAGCCCGGCAAGCTACCCAGAGTATCTCGCCCGCACGGCAGAGCCTGGCAAGCTACCCGTGACGTATTCGATATGCCAAACACGGTAACAAGTCTCATGATGGAGACGTTACTGGGCCCGCTCGAGCAAATCGATGAACAACGGGAGGACCGTGACCATGAACTACAAATATAGAATAAAGCTAGAGAACTAAATGAATTAGGGCATAAAGCTGTGATGGGATTGCTGTGGTCTGATCTCTTTTTAAAAATTCTCATTTTTAATTGTCATTGAATTACAAAGTTAATCATGATTGTGTTTCAGGCATACAATGTTTCAACACCAATTCCTTCACCAGTGCTCACTTTCCTCTACCTGTTGTATTCAGTTTCCTTCCCACCCAGTTTCCCTCCCATCCCCTGTTGCAGTCCAATGAGAACTTTAACCAATGAAAAATCATTTCTTTTGTTAAGGTGCGGAGAGGGTACTATACCTGGATGTGGTCAGGGTATACTCTTGGTTCTGTGTTCAAAGGTCACTGCTGGTCATGTTTGGGGGGGCATCTGGGGTGCCGGGGATCAAACTCAGGTCAGATGTGCCCTACCTGCTGTTCTATCTCCCCTGCCCCAAGAGAAATGATTTCTTATGGAAAAACAAAGTGTTATTTTGGAGGTGAGATCTTCTGATGAAGATGCTGTGAATGTTATGATTACAACAGGATTTAGAATTTTTTGTGTTTTGTTGTTGGGGGCATACTCAGTGGCCACGCTGAGAACTTATTCCCGACTGTGCTCAGGGACAGGGATCACTCCTGGTGTGCTTGGGGGACCATGGGAGATGCTGGGGATCAAACCCGGGTTGGCTGCATGCAAGGCATTGAATACCCTACTCCGCTCTGGCTTCGGCTCACAATAGGATTTAGAATATTATGTAACTAGTAACTGTAGAGTTGGGCTAGGGCGTATTGACTCCAACTTTGAAAGACATTCTGTGGATATGCCTGTCACGGTATGTTAACTGAGAAATCTTTCATGAATGTAAGTATTAAGGCACGAGCAAATATGCTTTATTAAGTCATTCTGGTTATATTTTTATGGATAAAGTACATTCTAAGATGGGTCAGGATAAATAGTATAGCCTATAGGGTGTGTGAATTACCCAAAGCCAACCTGAATTCAGGTCTCCCAAGCCCTGCTCAGGAGTGATCTCTGAACAGAGTCAAGAGCAAGCCCTGAGGAATGCAGAGTGGGACCAAAAAACCAGAATAAGGCACGGGATTTTTATTTTTATATTTTTTTATTTTTTATTTTTTTAAATGCAGAAGATTCTGCACACTTAAAACTGTAGTGTAAATCTGATGGGCCCTGGGAAAAATTCACAATTTGCTTTATTGACACTCTTGCTTTATTGTCGTCTGGAACCCCACATTTCTATAAAAGTAGATGGTGTGTATCTTTTTGGCAGTCCTATTAATATTCACGTTTTCATGCAGATGAAGTAATCATCTTTTTCCTTAACTCAGCGTACTCACTTTATAAAATAGATCCTGTATTCCCAGTTAGTTGAGAAATTGTATTGCATGGGAAAATGGTCCATCACTATTGTCTGATGTGAAAATTTGCTCACCTCATTAGAAGTCAGAGCATCTGTCTCTTGTCTTTATTTTATTTATTTTTTTTAAATAAGCGCCTGTGAGAGGTGCTGTGGGGCCGGGACCACTCACCACGATGCGTGTTTCGTTTCATCTGTGTGACCCTGGCTCGTGCTGCTGGGGCCTGGCAGTGTTGTGGCTGCCCAAGCCAGACCTGGTAGTTTCAGAGACCCCAGGGCTGTCTCTGGTGGGAGAGGTTGAGGTAGTGACATGTCACCTCGGCGATTGTACTCAGAATGTTGGATGTGCACGGCATGTGCTCCTCCACCCCTTTTCCTATTTTCCAGCCCCCAAAGTCTGTTTATATGGAAAATTACACTTGGGAGGCAGTCATCACTTTCCTTAAGACAGTTTTACAGTCACGTATTTTCCTCAAAAGCAGTAGTTCATCATGAATGAGAATTCTTTCTTTGAATGGAAATTTTTGGTTAGTATTGTGATGCCATTATGTCTGCCATATATAGTTTTTTACGTACTAGAATCTCTAAGTGGTGTGTGGGAGTGGTACTTTCTTACATTTTTAGGTCACACCTAGCTATGCTCAGGACTTCATCCTGGCTCTGTACTAGGGACCATCCCTGAGGTGCTTCAGGGGTTATATTTGGGGATCCTGCCTCTGTTGGCTGCGTGCAGGCAGGTGCCTTACCTGCTCCATTCTCTCTCGCCCCGTGGTGCTGTATTTGCAGTCATCAGAAAGGACCTGTACGTTGGCACGGGTACTGACTTCAGATACTTGAATGATTCTCTGCCTGTTTAGCAGGGTCATCTAAGGTGAGAGCAGAGACAGAGTTTGCACGTGCGCTCACTTCATCCTCCTCTGCAACAAAGAAGAAAATGCTAAAAAAGGGTCAGTAAAACCTTTTTTTTTTTAAGCTTTTGTTTCTTTTTTTCTCTTTTTCAGTGAAAAGAACTTTTTACTTTATTTTTTTAGTGAAGCCAGATAGTTTTTATTAAACGAAATTTCTGAAGAACAAGTATCCGGATGTATACCAAAATCTCTGTTCACCTTCCCAGTCACAATTTTCTGCCTGCTCCCATAAAAATAATCAGTATCTGGGTTTTTTGAATGCTCCGAATAGAGTGGCAAATTAAAATGCTTAATAGAAAAAAATTTTTTTAATTGTGGTTTAAGTCCTTTATGTTTATGGAGGCACGTTATTGTCATTACTTAAGTGACTTCATATTTGAGTGGAAAAGCAGTTAAAGTCTGTTACCTTTTTTTTTTTCAGGAGCATCTGCAGTGGAGGGTTCAAAGAAAACTGATGCTGAAGAGAGACCAAGAACAACACTCATCATCTGTCCGCTTTCTGTCTTAAGCAATTGGATTGTAAGTGTGAAAAGTCCCTTTGAAAGTATGGTACACCTTAGGTTTGTCAAATAACTACTGGGGGCCAGAGTAATAGTCCAGTGGGTAGAGAATTTATTTGCCTTGTGTATGTCCGACCCCAGGCTTGATCTTTGGCACCCCATGCAGTCTCCTTAGCACTGCCAGCAGTGATCTCTGGGTGCAGAGCCAAGAGTAAGCCTGAGTAACAATGAGTGCTCCCTAAAAAAACTTTTTTTTAAAAAATTTTTATTAGTGAGACACCGTGAGGTACACTTGTAGACTTACAAATTTTGTGCTTGGGTTTCAATTATACAATGATCAAATACCCATCTCTCCACCAGTGCCCATTTCCCACCACCACGGATCCCAGTATCCCTCCCACCCCCCCATCTCCCCATCCCACCCCGCCTCTGTGGCAGGGCTCTCCCTTTTGTTCTCTCTCCCCTTTTGGGTGCTGTGGTTTGCAAAAGAGGCATTGAGTGGCAATCGTGTTTGGTCTATAGTCTACTTTCAGCATGCTTCTCCCATCTTGGGAGGATCCTTCCAACACCCTTCTCTATCTGAGCTGCCTTAAAAAAACTTTTTTAAAGTGTTAAAATCTTAGAAGTATGGTTAAGGTGGGTGGAAGATCCTTAGTCAGTACCTTATATCTGTATTCAGTTTCTTATTATTATTTTTCTTTTTGGGTCACACTCGGAGATGCACTGGGGTTACTTCTGACTCATGCACTTGGGAATTACTCCTGGCTATGCTTGGGGGAATATGCGGGGTGCTGGGAATCAAACCCGGGTCAGCCACGTGCAAGGCAAACACGCTACCCGTTGTGCTATCGCTCTAGCCCCTCAAATAATTATTAATTGGGTATATTTATTGAAATGATTAGTGAGCACCTATGTTCTTGGTTTCTCCCTGAGCCCTTTTCATATATTTTTACATGGAATCCTACTAGTAATATTTTCAGGTGTTTCATATTGAAGCATCAGAGAAGTAATTTGTGTAATCAACAAGCTAATAACAAATGATGAACTGAGATATAGTTTACGGTGTTCTGTAGTCTAGTCCAGATTCATGACTTTAGAAGCCTGTGCTTTTAGGGCTACTGACCAGATCATTTTTTCAACTTTCTCTAGCTTGCTTTCCTCTTCTAAAATATCACCCTGTAATTTCATAGTTCTTAGCTTGGTTACATTTCCAGACTGTCAAGTTGCAGCCATAATGAAATAGTAATTAATATGAACATAAAGACTGTTAAATGTGAATTTCCATTCTTGCCTCCACCCAGGTTACTCTATCTATGTTCCTTTCAGAGTTGGAAAGGGCCTACTTCTGGAAGTCTGGATCTTAGTCTATGCATTAGACGAGTCTCTTCCTGCCCTGTGTTCTGTTAGTTTGTTCTTGCTTCTTCAGTTTCTTCCTCACTCACTTGTTCACAAAACAGTCCTCAGATTTTTTTTTTGACATTTTTAGGTATTTCTTTTTGTTATATCTCACACTTAAGCTGCTGCTTTTTCTTCTTATACTCTTACACCTCTTAGATTTAATTTCTCTGTGTGTGTGTGTGTGTGTGTGTGTGTGTGTGTTTTAATTACTTAATTCATTCTCACGAGTTCTGTAGAATAGTGCTGAAAAACTTTCCATTCATGACTCTTTTCCACCTGAAATACTTTTTTCGTTTGCTTCCCTTTTTCGGGGTGGGGGTCATACCTAGCTGTGTTCAGGACTTGCTCCGGTATCATTCCTGGGGGGCTTAGGAGCATCTGTGGTGCTGGGAATAGAGTCCAGGTTGGTTGTCTGCTGTACTGTCTCTCCAGCCCACTACCTGAGAAATTTTTATATAACTTCTGATAAATAAAATAGGTATAAAAGCTTTTGCTAATAATAAATTACAAGTTATTTTAAAAGAAATCTTTGCAGCCTCCACTTTGATTTTTATGGCACCTCGCTCCTGCCTCCACTCCCCACACTTGGTGTTGAGATCCACAGTTTAAGGAGTAAGGCTGTAGATTACATTAGAAAGGTTGTTAGTTACTGTCCAGGTGTCAAATTCTGTGGCTTCTTTATTTTATTTTACTCTTTTGTAGCCTTAACCCTTGACCTTTTTATTAAAAGACTTTGGTTTATATTTTAAAAAATTATATTAATTTCCCTTATTAAAATTAGTAAGGGAAGAATTTAGAGTTTGGAACCAAAGACTGAAGATATTAGGAACTAAAAATTAAAGGAACCTCAACCGAAGAATTTTAGTTTTCTTACTAATAAGTTTAAATTCCAACAAAACTGCTTTTTAAATTTGTAGTCTGCTATGGCCAGTGCTTGTGGTTACATCAAAATGAGATTTGTTGGAGTATTAACTATAGAATCAATGGTGCGGATATGTGTTTTTTAAAAGTGTAAGCAGTGTTTAATTATTGTATATTTGAAGATGGCATAAGTTTTGGCATTATTAATTTCAGAAAGGAAATCTTGGCAAAGCCTTGCCTCCTGAGATGATGGAAATCTGATTTTGGAAGGAATCCTCATTGCACATATAGAGGTGTGCACTGGTTGCACCTAGAGTCCCTGATAAGAATTACGTTTTCATTCTGTCACCAGCTCTATTCTTAACTTCCAAGTAAATCACCTGATCTTTTCTTTTTTATTTAAATACCGTGGTTTACAAAATTGTTCATGATACAATGTTACAGGCATTCAGTATTCCTGTACCAATCCCATTACTAGTGTCACCTTTTCTCCACCATTGTCCCCCTTTTCCCAACTCCCCACGCCACCCCAACCCTGCCTCCTTAAGTACGTACAGAGCAGTTTTTTAAAAATTTTTTTAAAATTTTAAAATTTTTTTTAAATTAGTGAAACACCATGAGGTACAGTTGTAGATTTACAGTTTTTTGTGCTTGGGTTTCAGTTATACAATGATCAAATACCCATCCCTCCACCAGTGCCCATTTTCCACCACCATGGATAATATCCCCCCCACCCCCATCCCCCCCATCCCACCCTGCCTCTGTGGCAGGGCAATCCCTTGTGTTCTCTCCTTTTGGGTGTTGTGGTCCAGAGCAGTTTTTTTTACATTGTTTCTTACAACTAAATGGCTAATGGAATTATCAAAAAAATATTAGAGTAAAAGAAAATTTGTGAGGATTGTTGTTTCTTACTGTGGGGTCATTAGGTCCATGTCTGAAGGATTACTAAGCTGTTCATTGCCCCTGAGCCTTCTGTGCTAACGTTTTGTCTGTTGAGCTTCGTTGGCTTCGATGTCATTTGCCCCTTGACTTCCGTGTGTGCCTACTGGGATGTCAGTGTTGTAAGATGGGAAAGTGCGGTGCAGCCGCGGACGCGGCCTGTGCTACAGAAACTGCAGAATATCTGGCTGGGCTGTGAGTTGACATGACAGCAGTTGTGGGGATGTGGCAGTCTGGGGAGTGGGGAGAGGCTTCCCTCCTCCATTCTGAGAAGACCTTAGTGTCCGCAGCCTGAGGACTGGTGTGCCTGCAGTTTGGCATCTGTAGAGCTTAGTTGTGAGGCAGTGGAGGTGGGCCCGTAGTGTGGCATCAGCTGTGGGGCGAGTGTGACCCTCGCTCCTCCTCCCAAGGGCACCCCAGACATTTATTTCAGCTGGGACTTTGTACCCATGAATTTTTGCATTGTGGGTATCTTCTGAACAATTACACATTTTTTCCCTGGATATTTTGACTTCACGTCACAAAAGAAAATGAAAAATAATATCTATTTCCCCCTCCCAATTTCTGTTAGATGCTCCAAATACAATCTGAAATACATGTGCACTACCATTCCTCACAAGGGAAAGTATTAATAGTACGTGTCACATACGCGCAGTCTCATCTCCCAGCATTATTGACTAGAAACTCAGTAATTCTAGTTCTTCCCCCCCCCCCCCCCCCCCCCCCCACACACACACACACACACAAAGGCAGGCTTTTCCTTTTTAAAAATCCAGTACTTCTACAAATTTGGTCTCTTCCATTCTGTGGCAACCCATTAAGTTTTACTATACTAGATTTGTAAGATTTCTTCTTTACCAGAATTTTTCTAGAATGCTTTGCATTTTCCTCCTTCTGCTCTTTCAGATTTTGTTCCTGTCTTCGCCCCATCGTCTTCTGGATTTAGAAGCCATTTGTGAAGTCTCTTACTGACATTGCTGCTACCATGTCCAGTTCCCATGTCTTTTCCCTGTGCCTTGGCTTGGTTTCCATTTATTTTTGTTGCATCTCATTTTGTAAGCCATCTTTATTATTTTTGTTTTGTGTGGAAGGGATGGGGGCTAAGTGACCTTCATTTACTTAACAAGATTCAAGAATTTCAAAAGTTCACATTTGCTTTCCTTTCTTCAGTCATACTTTAAACATGTCGTATTGTCCGTAGAAGCATAAGCCTTTTAAACCTTGGCATTTTGTTGTGTTTCATGGTCTGTGGCTCATCTTTTGTAATTGTACATGTTCTTCCTATTCCTGCCGTTTTCGTTTAGGACTTCAACATCTCTTAACTGAATAACTTCCAGTTCTGTCTTCCTAGGTTTGGCTATTTCTATTAAATTTTTTTTCTACTCATTTCTCAGAGTTGTTGCTTCAACAATTTAAACTCAGTGTTTTGTTGTTGTTGTAACTATGTTCTTAGGACACAGATTCTTATATTTCTTTTTGGTGAGACAAGGGTTGTGGTAGATAACTTGAATAATTGGCCTCTAGTAAGGGAAAGAAAATGGCTATTGTCATCTGGAATCTGTTGACAACCGTAAAAATGCTGTACTTGGGACTGGAGCTATAGTACAGTGGGTAGGGTGTTTGCTCTGCAAACGGCTGGCCAATGTTTAATCTCTGGTACCCCATATGGTACCTTGGCCCCACCAGAAGCAACCCCTGAGCACTGCCTAGTGTGGCCCAAAAACCAAGGGAATAAAAAACTTTTTTGTGTGTGTGCTTTTTGGGTCGCACCCAGCGATGCTCAGGGGTTACTCTTGGCTCTGCACTCAAGAATTACTCATGGCGGTGCTGGGGGACCATACGGGATGCTGGGAATTGAACCCGGGTTGGCTGCGTGCAAGGCAAATGCCCTACATGCTGTGGTATTGCTCCAGCCCCAAGCCCAATTTTTTTAAAATATAGTTCTTTTACTGTTACATTTGATAGTGAATCTGCTTACCAAGAACATTAAAGATCATTTTTATTAAAATATTGAATCTTTCAAGGACTTGTTGCTGTTTTATTTTGGTGTGCGTGGAAAGCTTGGTGTGCAGGACTCAAGTTATTCTTGGTTCTGTGGTCAGGGATCACTGTGACTGCTGGGGTTTAGCTCTGGTGGCTTTAATTACTGCCTTACAAGAATTTGTTTTCTCCTGTCTAAAAACAAAGTGATTGCTCACTGGAAGGGTCTAACAAAGGCTTTTGTACATTACAATGTCTGTGTATTATTGATGTTTAGATTGCAGGAAACATGATTTATGAAATTTTGAGAATTTGATTGTGACACAAACCAGTACTGTACTTTTTTTTAACACATTGTAAAATTTATCACTAGTCTGCTTATTAAAAATATTTGTTTTTTGTAGGACCAGTTTGGACAACATATTAAATCAGATGTGCACTTGAATTTTTATGTTTATTATGGTTCTGATCGTATTAGAGACCCAGCCTTGCTTTCAAAACAGGATATTGTTTTGACTACATACAATATTTTAACTCATGACTATGGAGTAAGTATGTTGATATATTGATTCTTTTCTAAAGTTGAATTCAGGAAATTTGCTCTAGGTTTCTAAAGTGTTACAAAATTCAGCATTTCTGTTCTTTTTTCACCTCCTTTAAAAATTTGCTTTAAAAGATGTTTCTTTTATTTTCTTTTTTTCTTTTTTTTTTTTTGCTTTTTGGGTCACACTCCGTGATGCACAGGGGTTACTCCTGGCTCTGCACGCAGTAATCACTCCTACTCCTGGCGGTGCCTCAGGGGACCATATGGGATGCTGGGAATCGAACCTGGGTTGGCTGCGTGCAAGGCAAACGCCCTACCCGCTGTGCTATCACTCCAGCCCCAAAAGATGTTTCTTTTTAAATTATTTTATTCTATAAGTTGTTGTACCTCAAATTCACAAATTGCCCAACCTATTTAGAAGTCTAATTTTTGTTTACCTATAACTACTGTTGGGAAATATACTGTATGGTTTTCAAAATATCTTTCATCAGCACTTTTCTGCTGGAAATATTAACTTCCAGTGTAAAACAAAATTCGAATTATTCTTACAGCAACGATTTTTATAGTTTTAATGAGGCAGAATAATAGCTTGGTGCATGAACCAAGTCTTGAAGGCACGCTCGGCTGTCTGGGTTTGAATGGTAACTCTGCCACTTCCAAACTGCGATGCTGTAGGCATGGTACTTCCGTTTTCTTAACCTACATAACACAAATGAAAATATTTCAGGGCTTGGGATGCAGCTCGCTGGTAGAGTGCACATACACTAGATACATGTTAAAGGGCGTAGGCCCCTTTTCCTGACTTAACAGTCACTAAAATTCCGTAACCTTGTGAGCATTGAAAAGTTCACGTCAAAAATACTTAAACAGTACCGACAGTGTAGGTAATGTAAAAGCATAAAAGCAGCTCATTCTGTGCCTAATTCATAATGTCTGTTTCACTCCCCTTTCCTTTCGATGTGTGTGGACCATTTCAGACGAAGGGGGATAGTCCGCTGCATAGTCTTAGGTGGCTGCGCGTGATCCTGGATGAAGGGCACGCTATTCGCAACCCCAATGCACAGCAGACCAAAGCCGTGCTGGACTTGGAAGCAGACAGAAGATGGGTATTGACAGGTAATGTGGCAGTAGCTTAAGAGATTCCACGTTTCCCGATATGTATCGCTGCATGTAGTATCCCAAAAGTAATCATAAAAATAACTCTGTTTTTATGTGGTGATAGTTGCTAGCAACATGTGAATTGTAATTTATGGGAGAATTGCTAGAGTGTTCTAGAACCTTAGAGATTAATTGGATTCTTTTTTCCTTTTTTTAAATGAATTAATCCTCCAATCAGAATTGTAATTTTCCTGTCCCCATTTCGAAGTCTGTTAATTGTGATAAAGTTACTGGAAGAATAGGGAAAAGAATACAGAATTAAATTAGTTTTTTCCTTTTTGCTGATTTTTTCCCCCTGCTACTGTTTAAAATACAAAAGCGAATATTCTTGTCAGCGAGAAAATTGAATTTACTTTATATATTTTTTTGTAATATGGCAAATGAGATAAAAATTAGAGCAAAATCATGTTTTTAAGATTGTATGTGTTTAAGAGGGAATTGTAATCACAGATGATGGTGTGTAGAGTGCCCATTTTTTGGGGGGGAGGGGCATACCTGGTTGTGCTCAGGGCGTATTCCTGGCTCTGCACTCAGGGGTAACTCCTGGACTCCTCTTGTGCACGGGAGCATATGAGGTGTTCGGGTTTGAACGCAGGCTGAGGTAAGCATCTTACCCGCTGTGTTCGCTCTTGCCTCTAGACTGCCCATTTGTATGGAACTGCTGTTTTCTCTGATTGGCTCAGATGGATAGTCTAACCCGATACTTTGGTTATAGGATCGTAACAATTTTCTGTTCTTTTAGGTACTCCAATCCAGAATTCTCTAAAGGATTTGTGGTCTCTTCTTTCCTTTTTAAAACTGAAACCATTTATTGATAGAGAATGGTGGCACAGAACAATACAGCGTCCTGTGACAATGGGAGATGAAGGAGGACTTAGGTAAGTAATTTAATAACAAAATGACTAGTACAGCCAGTGAATAACTGTTGCAGTCTGAACCAATTTGGATTTTCGTTACTATTTGATTGTTGGTTTTTCCCTTCATGAAATGTTTACAGCTTGAGGTTGGAAAATTTTTCTTACTGTGCTTAGTGATAATGAACATAGTTCAGAAGCCACTAATACAGTTTGCAACACTAACTACTTGATTCTTTAGAATGAATTATTTGAATTTTAATTTAAGAAATTGTTTTCATATTTTAGTGTTAGGAGAGAGGTGTTTTTTAATGTTTAAAAACTTTTTTTTTTAAAATGATCATTGATTTGGGGCTACACTCAGAGCTCAGGGCTTACTCCTGGCTTTTTGCTTAGGGATCACCCCAAGGGTATTCAGGGGACCATATGTGGTGTTGGAATCAAACTGGGGTTGGCTCCATTCAAGGCAGGCACTTTTCCCTCGTATCTCTCTAGCCCCAGGAAAAAATTTTTTTTAAAAAAATACGTGATATGCTTCCTTTTTTCCCTGATATTGAAAAGGGATTGTAAAGGTTGTAGAGCCTTGAAGACATTTCTCTTTGTTATGAATTATCATAACTCAATTTTATAATATGACCTTTTACTTTATATTAACCATGTACTGGTTTTCACAGTACTAACGAATTTTAGAGGCAAGGCAATATTTTTTCATGCATATGTGATATTTGGGATTTGCCTTGCCCTTAATGGATATTTAATAATTTGTTCTATTTGGTGATGTTCAGTAGATCAATTTGTTCAGTGGGAGAATTAAGTGAAAAACTTCATTTAGTGGTTAGAATAAATTGGGGAGAAGTGCTCTAAAAATAAGAACAGGAAAACTGGCAAGTATTAAGGGGAAATTTCAGTGCATTTATTGCTCTGTTTTTCTCTTTATATATTGTGATTATCAGGCAGATTGAATGGAACCCCAAGCAAGGGATTTTTGTTTAACTTTGCTAAGATTATAAAACTAACAGTAAAATACTCATTTGGTTACTCAGAAATACTTACATAATTTTGTTTTATTTTGACTAGGCGTTTACAGTCTCTGATTAAAAATATTACACTTAGAAGAACAAAGACAAGCAAAATTAAAGGAAAACCTGTTTTGGAGTTACCAGAACGCAAAGTATTTATTCAGCACATTACACTTTCAGATGAAGAGAGGAAGATTTATCAGTCTGTAAAAAATGAAGGCAGAGCCACTATTGGAAGGTATGAAAAAAGCTGATCGTTTGAAAACATTTTATGTTGTTTCAATTTTTTTTCACTTCATCTTTTTAAGAAATAGTAGTAGTGAAGTGTACAGTATACGAAAAGATATTTACTTTTACTTGCGTTTTTAACTTCTTTAACAGTTTTAACAAATTGATAGTAAAAGTGAGCGAAATAGTGTAATTTCTTAAGTTAGGGGGAAAAATGAAATGGTAAGGGTCCCCCCACCCCCATTTATTGATTGATTGATTCACTCTGAGGTAGACAATGTTGTTCATGATTGGGTTTCAGTCATACAGTGTTTCAACACCCATCGCTCCGCCAATATATATTTCTCAGCACCGTGTCCCCAGTTTGTGTTTCTTGGCTTCATTTTCCAATGTGAATGCTGTGTCTATAGATAGGTTCTTCTGCAAACACAGCAGGTCTGTGTGTTTCCTTATTTATTTTACTTTCTCTTCTGTGTAAAACTTGTTCAGGGAACATCATGCACCCTACTTTCTCTTTTGTGTGTGAATGAGGCTGGTTTTCCCCTAGGGGGCATGCTAATTTGAAGTCCTTTCGAGCTCATTTGTAGGTCTTCTTCACAATGTCCTACTTGAACTACAGTTAGAAGCCACTTTGCATGTATTTTGCTTTATTATCTCTGAAAAGTAGAGAGAATCTCATTAGTCTGCTTTCATTGTTTCATTGATTCGCATAGTCATTGGTTTGCTTTCCTGTTCATCTTTGTTTTCAAAGCCAACAAGGCCATTTTTATTCCCATTGTTTGCAAATAAGAAATACTGTTAGGGGTGTTCATAGTTAATCTTTTTCCCTATAGGTATTTTAATGAAGGGACTGTCCTTGCACACTATGCAGATGTCCTGGGTCTTTTGCTTAGACTGAGGCAGATTTGTTGTCATACTCACCTTCTGACAAACGCAGCATCTTCCAGTGGTTCCTCAGGTAAGTGATTGCGTTACCCCTGTGCATTTGTTGCATATTTAAATCAGATTGAGAACATTTTCAGAGACCCTAAATTTAGTACATTTTCTTTGTCCAAAAGACCATTATTCTTCATATAGGAATCAGTTGGGATTGATTGTACTTCAAATTCTGACCAGTGGAATGGAATGGCAACAGGGGGTTTCCAGGATTTCTAGTCACATTCTTAGATGAAAGGTTCAGATTGATTCTACCTTTTATTCTGCGCTAGTAAATGTAGGTCATATTTTAATGATGCTATGATAATGTTTCTATATAAGGTATATCATCTGGGTTGACTCATGTTTTAGTTTCTGGATTTTCCTTAAAATTTTCAGTTTAAACCATACTTTTTACCTGTGATAGAAAAGTATTAAGGATTACCCAAGCAGAACTTTTCCTTATATCAGGAAGATTTATCTTGCCATGTTACAAATCTTGCTTTGAAATTAATTTTTCAGCCTTTTCTCTAGGAAACGATACACCTGAAGAATTGCAAAAGAAGTTAATAAGGAAAATGAAGTTAATTCTGAGCTCAGGTTCTGATGAGGAATGTGCAATTTGCTTGGATTCTTTAACAGTTCCCGTGATAACACGCTGTGCACATGTCTTTTGTAAACCCTGTATTTGCCAAGTCATTCAGAATGAGCAGGTTAGTTTCATGCTTCTGTGTTGGACGGAATTTCGCTCCTGTCTTGAGTGTTAACAAAACCCAAGTCCACCAGTCTTTTTAAAGGATTTCTCACTTGAGTTTATTATATCTAATTGATTATGTTACTGTTTTGAGGTGTTCTAAGACTGGGGGGGTTGTATTTCACATTCACTCTCTCAGTTCCTCTAGCTAGCTCTTTAAGTCACTGTTTAAGAGATCAGTAATGTATTTGGAATTTGGTGCATGTAGTAATTTATCAGATAACTTTGCTTTATTAATATGTCTTGGTACTAAGAAATATAACCAGTATTGGTTTTTTTAGTGAACATGATAGAATTTAGCAAAACTGGAATGACTTTTTGTTTTTTTGTGGGCAGAAAACCTGGTGGTGTTCAGGGCTTACTCCTGGCTCTGCACTTAGGGGATGACTGTGGCAGGGCTTGGGGACCACATGGGATGCCAGGGGTTGAATGTGTTGAGCATGTGCAAGGCCAGCCCCCCCCTCCCCCCGCTGTTCTGCCGCTCTGCTCAGGAGTGTCTTTATACACCACGGAAGGAATTATTTACCCCCAAAGGGTAATTCCAGCTAATGTGCTTTGTTGTAGTTAGGTTTGAAAACCCACTTTTTTTTTAAATTTCTTTACTTGTCAGTAAATTTATTCTCTAGGTTGCTGCTAGTCAAGATCAAATACTTTCGCTTTCTTGTTAACTTATCCTACTTCACACATCAGAATACTATCAGGAATTAAATATGTACAGATTTAATTCAAATGGATGAGTCAGTAAAAGGTTAAAAAAATTCCAGCTAGTTGTGAAACACAGATTATAGAGTTCTTGAAAAAATCTGAAAATTTGTATTTCTGTTCCTCTGATTTTTTCTTGTACTTATTCTTTTTTATTACAATAGCCACATGCTAAATGCCCTTTATGCAGAAATGATATACATGCAGATAATTTACTCGAATGTCCTCCTGAAGAATTGTCATGTGATACTGAGAAAAAATCTAACACAGAGTGGACATCCAGTTCAAAGGTAAACTATGCATTCACAGATTGAGAAATTGCTTTTTATTTACATAGGAAAGTGCTATGTACAAAAGTGATAATTCTGTTTTTGTGTTTGGACCAACACCCATTGGTGCTCAGGGGCTGCTCCTAACTTAGAACAGTGCCAGGGAGCAAACTGAGGTACAGTGGATGCGCCCTTTGAGCTGCCCCCCCCCAGCCACCTGAATTCTGGTTTTGAATCCTGTCATTTGAAGATGCATTGGTCAGACTGGCTTTTTTGTCAGCGGTAGTGAGGAGTTTGAGGGAAAGGAGAAAGCTTCAGTTTACTATGGAACTCTTTCATAAAATAGTGGGTTTTTTTTTTTAATTAAAGCGCCATGGTTTATAATGTTCATAATAGTGTCACTTCAGACAAGCAGTGCTCCAGTACCAGTCCCACCCCAGTGTCCCTTTCCCTCTATCAGGGTTCTCAGGTTCACTCCCCACCGGTGTAGGCATATATATAACAGATTTACTCATATTACTTACGCCCACAAAACTAGATGGCAAATGGAGTTATCAGTAAAAGTCATTAAGTGGTGATCGATTGTTGTTTTTAACCTTTCTTAACTTAGTAGAAGGCTACCATATATGCAGGGTGGGTTGCACATTTTGGGAAGTCTCTCCTTATCCTTTTCTTTTCATAAATAGCTGTCCAGGACCTTTATATTTTTATTTATTTATTTTGCTTTTTGGGTCACACCCGGCGATGCTCAGGGGTTACTCCTGGCTCATGCACCCAGGAATCACCCCTGGCGGTGCTCGGGGGACCATATGGGATGCTGGGAATCGAACCTGTGTCAGCCATGTTGGCTGCGTGCAAGGCAAACACCCTACCTGCTGTGCTATCGCTCCAGCCCCTGTCCAGGACCTTTAGGAGAAATCAACTTATGACATGGAACATGAATATGATTATAATCTAATCTAGTTTACCACTTTGTTCCAGCTGTCACTTTTTTTTTCCATTTGAAAGCTTATGATTTAAAAAGTTTCCATAATGCCATTTCAGGTGCTAGTATTGCAACTCCAGTCCCACCACCCTTTGTGACCGTTCCTCCACTCAAGTTCCAGGTTACCCACCCACAAAATAATTTACTTCATATTGCTTGTTACAGCATATATCTCTTACTGGTGTTATTAAGCGACTATCTGAGGGTTTGCTGAGCTGTAAAGTGCTAATTGAGCCTTCTGTACTATTGTTTTCGTTCACTGAGCACAGTGGCTTCTCTGCAACTTTTCCATCTGATTTTCTGTTTTCTCCCGGGGTCTCAGTACTGTGAACTTTGAACCCGTCGCATGGCTGTTATGTGGCCACATGCTCTAGTAACGGAGTAATCACTAGGATGATCCAGCACCATGGCATCTCATGTCCACCAGGTTTGGCTCAGCTGCGGCTTTTCTCTCTCTGTTCTAAAGGAGCCATTTTAACATTTCTTGCAAAGCTGTTTTCAAGGCTCCACTTCCGTTAGCTGTTGCCTGTCCATGAAACTATTGTTCCTTCAAATATGAATGATAATCTCGCTGCAGAGCATATTCTTGGTAAAGCGTTCATTTTTCATTTCATCATTGTGTCACTGAAGACATAGTCTAAGGGTTTGCAGAGCTGGTTGGTCGTGTTTGTCTTTGGTGATGCTGCTTTTGCTCGTTGAACATGGTGGACTTCTGTGTGTTTTCCCTGTTGGTTTCGTCGTGTTTGTGCTGTGCTGGGGGGTGAGTCTTTGTAGTTAGACCCAGCAGATGTTGCTGTCTCTCTCTCTCTCTCTGCCCATTCTCACCAAATGACAGTGAACAGTGTGCGATTTGGTGTTCAGGGGCTTTGGTAGGGGCCCTTAATATGGCGTCGACCAGGTGTGGGGGCTGCCAGGACCTAGCCAGAAGGGAGGGTCTCTGCTTCCTGTTCCAGAAGGGCCCAGTGATGGCAGCCGGCGCAGAGCAACTGACAGAAGGGCCTTCTTTTGTCTTATTAATAGATAGCATGACAGAAACTTTGAACATAAACACTGTGGAAATATTCTATTTTGCTTATTCAGTATGGATTCTAATGGTAGTCCCAATTGCTTTTTTTTTCTTTTCAGATTAATGCTTTAATGCATGCATTGATTGAATTAAGAAAGAACAACCCAAACATAAAAAGTTTAGTTGTTTCCCAGTTTACAACATTTCTGTCTTTAATAGAAACACCACTCCGGTAAGTTCAACAGTGTTTCTTATTAAAGTATTAAAGGATTTTCTCTATTTTGTTTGCTTTGGATTGCAAAATTAATTGTACCTTGCTGTATCCATTCATTTTATATATCTAAAGTGACATTGAATTACAATAAACATTTTCTAGCAGCATAACATTTTTTTAATTAAATCCTTAAATTATGTGGGATTGCAGAGCCTGACATACTTAGTCATTGGTTACTAAATATTTGTCAAAATAAGTGAAAGAACAGGTTGAAGGAAGAGGTTTATCGTTTAGCATGTCTGTATATTATTGTTGTCTCTTTGCCCCCTTCAGAGCCTCTGGGTTTGTGTTTACGCGTTTGGATGGTTCCATGGCCCAGAAGAAGAGAGTGGAGTCAATTCAGTGTTTTCAAAACACTGAAGCAGGATCCCCAACCATAATGCTTCTGTCCTTAAAAGCTGGTGGCGTTGGCCTGAATCTTTCTGCAGCTTCTCGAGTGTTTTTAATGGACCCAGTAAGTGATTTTGTAAACTTCTTGATGTGTTGTTACTTTTAAAAATTATGAAGTAGGACTGGAGAGAGAGAGTCCGTGGGTAAGGCACTCACCTTGCGTGCAGCCAACCCCAGTTTGAAACCCTGGCACCACTTTCCATCCCCTGGAAACAGTCAGAACTCTGTGTTTTCTAATTATTTACATTTGATAAATCGGGTTAATTAACTTACTAAGATGATCAGAGGGTAAACTCGAGCCGTTTCACTTTTGATAATTTGTGGAATGTGACAGCTGTTGCACAGAGAATTGATTGTCGCTGACTGTTTCAGCTTTTAAGTTTTTCTTCTAATTTCAGTTTTTCCTTGTTACTGTTGTTGCCAGACCACACCATTCGGTGCTGAGATGCAACTCTGGGGCCTGCTTCTAATGCTCAAATAAAAGCCAGATCCCTTACCAGCTGTATCTGTCTCTATGATTTTGTTTGTATTTTCAAGTTGTTCGCTGTATTGTTACTTTCATTTCCTCCAGGCACCTTGTTTTCAACTTCAACAAGTATCCCATAGCTGACATTTAAATTTAATGTTTGTTCACATATCCATACTTCAGGACCATTTGGCTATCTTTCTAGACTGAAGAACTGTATATCCTTTTGCTATTCCGTGCCACTGTTTGTCATTTTGCTTCATCATTTTATTCTTCATCTTAAGACAGCCTTTGGGGGCTGGAGCGATAGTACAGCGGGTAGGGCGTTCGCCTTACATGTGGCCAACATGGCCGACCTGAGTTCGATTCCTCCGCCCCTCTCGGAGAGCCCGGCAAGCTACCGAGAGTATTCGATATGCCAGACACAGTAACAACAAAGTCTCCAATGGAGATGTTACTGGGCCCGCTCGAGCAAATCGACGATCAACGGGAGGGCCTTTACCTTTACCTTTAAGACAGCCTTCATGATAAAAGGTGCCTATTAATTACTGTTGCTTTTTAATTTAATTTTTAAGTCAAGCTCATTTATGTATGAAATTGCATAAGCAAAGAATTCAGTTAGAATTTTAGTATTTTTGCCAGCTTGTAGAATCATTCTTTTTTACTTTATTTGGTAAATGGTGGAAAGGAAAGACCAGCAAAAGGCCAGAACATTTTTATAAATAAACTGAACTGCATATCTCGTCGGAGATGAGCAGGATTAAATCACCTAGCAGGATATGTAAACTTTTCATCCACTTTCAAAGGCAGTGGGAAGGGGGTGCAGAAAGATAGTACTTGGTTAGTCAGCTGTCATTTTGTGTGTTTTCTGTATTAGATAATAGAAGTAGTAGAGTGCAATGACAGTGGGAAGAATAGCCCTCAGAGAAGTGATAGGGGCAGGTGCGGGAGCAGGTTTATTTATTTTTTTCCTGTGCATTTGGATTATCTGAATTTACAGGGTGAGTTTAAGTAAAAAAGATGAATAAATGATGCTGCAGTGAATTGTCTTTCTGCCAAACACTCAGATCAGGATAGTGCTAAAGCAGCTCATTTTCTTGATAGGCCTGGAACCCCGCTGCTGAAGATCAGTGCTTCGATAGGTGCCACAGACTTGGCCAGAAACAAGAGGTCATCATCACTAAAGTGAGTTTTTAAACCAGCTATTTTCAAATATAGTCGATAGCAATTTTAAAACGATACAGATCATGTGTCGATGTATTATTAAGGCTATTGGAGTAGAATTTTCAGACCAGAATAGGAACCACCGTCAGTCTCATTTGAAGTAGCCACTATTGGGCTTTTGACATTAACTAATCAGAGTGTCTTGTGTTTGCACATACGCATTCATGTATATATCTCCAATAAACATCCCCCATAGCGTAGTCTAGAATGATTCATTGTGAATAATTTGCAAAATTACATTTTTGCCAAATCAAGTATGTGAGAGAATAAAAAGTTTCTTTTGAGATAAATTGGAATCCACTTAATTTTTCTGCAACATGCTTTTTTTGTTTCCTCTTATTGTAGACTCAGCAAAACACATATTTTTGGTAGTAAAATATGCTTAATATAGTTAGCATTTCAACTGTCTTAAGTATACTGCTCAGTACCAAGTATACATTGGGTAATCAGTACCACCATCCTTGCCTAGAATTTTTGCATCTTCTCAAATTGAAACTGTATCTCTTAACTGGACCATTTCTTTCTCCTTCCAGCCCCTGACACCTACACTTCTTTATGTCTCTGTAGGATGTGGCTACTCTATAAACATGTTCTTTTTGACATCATTTATAACCAATTTTCTTTTCTGATAAGCTCATGTCTTAGCATCACATTGCGTTTGTGTTATGAAAGCCAGAACTGTGGATTTAGAATTCTTTTTCTTTTTGGGGAGGGCCATACCCTGAGGGGTTCAGTGCTTGGGGAAACTTCTAGCAGCTCTCAGGGGACTGAACCCTCCTGCATGAAAAGCTTATGATCTAGCCCTTGGAGCTGTCTCCCCCTGCCCTGGATTTATCATTCTTACAGTTGTCAAGTTGTTTTGAAACTAGACTTTATGCTGCAAATATTTGCTTGCTGATGTGCAAGAGAATGCTTTTCTAATTTTCATTTAACTAAGACATTGTGCATCTTTCACACTGTGGTCTGTTGATCTTTCTGTTCTCTTTTTTTGGGGGGTGGGTGGGTGTTGGTCAGATATGGGCCCTGCGACCCTACATAGTGTGAAGCATTTGTTCTACCATTGCACTCCATCTCTGGCTCTTGTTCATTAATATTTTTTTTCTGTGAATCACTTGTTTATCTATTTTGCCCACTTTTCATAAAGTAAAAATTATGCCTCTGCAGTACAGGCAACTTTTGATATATTGTTTTGAAATAGTTTGTTATATTTGTGTTAAAAACAGTTTCTTCCAGGCTCTTATTTGTCTTTAAACTGTAATTTTTGTCCTGAAAGTCTTACAAACAAATTTTATTGGTGGAAGTTTGCCAAGCAGTGCTTGGGCTCTCCTCCTGATTGTTTTTGGCCAACCAGGCCTGTAGCTCAATGCCAGGGTCCAAGAATATGGTGCTGCAAAGGCCCTGTGATGTCCCCGGAGGAGAACCTGAGCCATGATGGTCGTGTTTGGGCTCTGCAGGTCTCGCCCAGTGCCTGAAAGTGGAACTGTTTTAGAATTTTAAGTGCCAGGCATTTTCTTGATCTTAAATTCTTTCTTTGTTTTTGCACCACACCTGGTGGTGGTCAGGTCTTCCTCCTGAATCACTCCCCATGGGTTCTCAGGACCATTTGGGTGCCTCACCCACTGCACTGTTTCTCCCACCTCTGTATTTAAAATCTTAGAGCAGAGAACTTTTTTCAGATCTAAGAAACTTTATGTTGTGACTGTTTGATCTTTGGCATCTGTTTGCTTCATGATGTGGGTCTAATTTTATTCGTTTTTCCAAATCTGTGCTTTGTAAAGACTTTTTTTTAAAGTTTATTCTTTTTTAACACACTGTTTTTAAATGGCAAATAAATGAACTTATGTGTATTGCATAGGTCTCTTCGTTTTTCATTTATTTTCTCTTCCTAGCTCCAGGACACTATCAGTTGTTTTCTTTTTTTGGAGGGGTGGGAGGTGCCATACCTAGCAGTGCTCAGGGTTTACTCCTGGCTCTGTACTCAGGGATCAGTCTTTTGGGCTTGGGACCATAAGGGCTGTTGGGGATTGGACCCAGGTCACTGTGTGCAAGGCAAACACCCTGCTTGCTGTAGTATCACTCTGGCCCCTGAAAATTTTATTCTTTATATGAGACAACTAGTGAATTGATGGGAAAACCATTGCTTATTATATCAAGGGAGAAACAGTGCTTATTCTATCATGTTGTAGATAACTCTTCACTGTATATTGTCGGGGAAGAGGGAGCTAAACAGTTCTATTAGGTTGTTATTTACAGTTCTTATAAATACATAATACTACAAGCGAATTCTTTATATAATTTTCTATATAATTATAAACATAATTTAAATTTTTCTTGTTCTTAATTTTTTTAAGTTCACTTATCTTTTTTTTTTTCAGTTACAAAGTTGTTCGTGACCAACACCTGTCCCTTCACCAGTGTACACTACCCACCCCAGTGTCTGTCCTGCCCTCTCCCACCCCCTACCCATCCTACCTCTGTGGCAGGCACATTCTTCTTTCTTTCCTTTTGTGTGTGGTTTGCAATACAGATACTGAAATGTTATCTTAAGCGTTTCTTTCCCTTTTTTCAGCACTCAGTTTTTATCCAGGGTGATCATTTCCTACTGTTACTGTCATGGCCATCCCTTCTCTGTCCTAACTGCGCCCCCCCCCCACACACACACACACACTCACACTCACACTCACACTCACACACTCATGGCAAGTTTCTGTCTAATTTTAAATTTTTTAAATTTTACTTTTAAACGTTAGAGATTTTAAATATCGCGACTTAAAGGTACAGACCCAATATAACTTTGTGTTTTCTCTTTAAAGTTCATTGTGAAGGACTCTGTTGAAGAAAATATGCTGAAAATACAAAACACAAAGAGAGAACTTGCAGCGGGAGCCTTTGGAAGTAAAAAGTCAAATGCTAATGAAATGAAGCAAGCTAAAATAAATGAGATCAAAACTTTAATTGATTTATAATTTGTGAGATTTGGTAAGGTCAGTTTGGTCCGATATATACTGAAGTTTTGGAAATGAGAAAAATAAGTTTTTAGAAGTGACATCTAGGAAGTATGTCTTCTAGAAGGAACACATATCACTTTGTATTGTGAAGAGATTACTGATCTATAATCTCTTCTACATATTGACTTGTTCTTGATATTTCAAATAGCAATAAGTTCTGTTATCTGCTGTGGCCTATGATAATTTTTTGACAGAAAAGTTACTTTGCTACCAACTTTTCATAATATTTATGCTGAGTATTTTCATATATCTTCCAAGTACTCGGTTTTTTCATACTTCAAATAAGGTCAGACTTTTTATACTTTTGACCAAACAGTTATTTTCTATTTGAACACATTTGGTTATTTACCAAAGCCTTCCATTTGTGATGTAGTGCATTCATAGTCTTCAGAAAACAACTAATGTGCATTAATCTGTATAAGAGATTGATTTGATTTGGCCTTCATAAACCGTTTTTGCATTCCAGAGTCAACTTTAAATAAGAGACCAAAGTTCTGGTTAGCAGGTTGCTTTGTTTTGTTTTGTTTCTTTAGATATAAAGTTTCATTGTGATATAATTCACATAAGTGACTTGCAAGTTTATGCTCAAGAAAGAAGTAGAGACTGTGATAGAGAACTATTTTTTTTTCTGTTTTAGTTGGGTGATTCTGTTCACTGTTTAAATGTACCTCAGTGTGTCTAGTGTGTAAATACAACCTAAGGGTGAGGGAACTAAGTACCCAATTTGATTTGAATATTTAAATTATGGAATTGCTAAATATTTCTATATAGAGAATTTTTATTTATGTAGCTTTAAAAAATAACTATAAATTTTTATAATTAAGAAAATGTGTGAGGTGTGATATTAGGAAGGTGGGCGGGATGACCTCCAAAACATTTCGACTCTTAACTGACATCTTAATTCTAGACAGAAATTTTTTGTTGCTATGTTTGGAATGAAAACTCCAGCTGTTTCTAGACTTAGTCATCGTTTTCTTAGTTTTTGCTGTTATCAGACTCAATATTGTTGCTCCAGAGGTCTAGATGACTGAGTCACTTCTAAAACAAGTTTTAAGTGTAGTAATCAGGTTAAGTAGTCAGTGGTGTTATTTCCTTGAGGGGCAGTTGTTTTAATCCAAAGAAGAGATTGGTCACTGTATCAGGAAGTTTCATATTAAATGATACAGATTCAATAACACCTCATATTTCACCTAGGTGTTAGAAGTGACTTGACTAAAAGATGAAAGAGATTGGAGGAGGCATTAGGCTCTAAGGCACACATCAGGGGTGTGCTAAGTAAATCCTTTGACCACGAAGTCAGGCCCCTTTTTCCTGGGTGCTGCCTCTTATTTAGGGGAACAGTACATTCAGTAGCAGGAATTTTCCCAGACTCTGCTCCTTGGGAGCAGGTAAGGCTGAGGGCTGAAGCAACTGAACAGTCCTTTTTTCAGGGATAATAGTGGAATATCAGTTTGGTTCACTAGTTTTCAGACCAGGTTCTTTACCATGTATGACTCGCACTACACACAGAAAAACCAGGCAGATCAGAATCTCAGGAAAATTAGGTGTGGTTCTCTATATACCAGTACTGTAGTGCAATTAAATACGAAATGGGTTCAAAACAAGAAAATATCCAGTCTACTCTCCTTGCTTACGAAGACACAGAGCTTTGCAAATTCATTGTAAAGAGAAAGATTTCTTGCTTCTTTACCTAAACATTTACAGTCTTGTGTTTTTAAACACATTTATAATGATAAGTTTGGCAAGTCATTTTTTAAAAATGTCTTACTGGTTTTGGACATTTTCATTAAATGGTGTTAAAAAGCAATGGACTTATACTAATAAATACATAAACCACTAGAGTAAAACTTTATATTCCGCACTGCTGTTAATTCTGTTTCATTATTATGTAGATAATAGCTTTAGAAGTATCTTCAAGACGTTGTATTCCCATTTGTGGTTCAAACTGGATTTTGTTTTACGTTTAAGATCAATAAAAGTTTCAAAAATTAGCTTCTTCAGTGCCATAATTTTGATGACTACTTTTTCTTTAAAACATTTTAATCACTTACAAATTTCATACTTCTCTGAAGATGTTCTGTAGTGTCTTCTGTTGGGGGAATCGCAAAGGCATTGGTTTATCATTTTGTTTTCTATACATTAGGAATTGTAAAATTAGTTTAAAACACGAGGACAGATCTCATGTGTGACTTAACATGAACATAAATTAATCTTGCTTTTAAATATTTTAACGTTAATACTTTCAAGAGACTGCCCTTGGTAACAAGCTGTCTTTCGATTAATAAGCATAAAATAGTCATCTGGGCTGAAGAGATAGTACAGGGGTAAGGCACTTGCCTATGCCAACCCTGGTTCTTTCCCCGGCACCATATATGATTACCCCAGTACCTCCAGAAGTAACCCAGAACACTGCCAGGTATGGCCCAGACCCACCCCACCACTACCAAAAAATAAGTATGTTTTAACCTCTCTGAAGTTCTACATTTACATTTACATAGTCTTGGTATTGAAGTTCTACATCTGCATTTACATCGTATTAGTATTGAACTAAGGGATTTTTACACATTTTATACACATTACATCCCTTAGTATCGAACTAAGGGATTCATTAGTTCTCATCAATTCTGGTCAGAATTCTGCAGTAAACCATGATTTACTTCTTTTGAAAGACAATTTTTTAGATTTTTTTTTTAACGACTAAAATGGCATTTCAAAAAAAAATTCCTTTTCTCTTTACTTAGCCTTCCTGATGAGGACTTTGCTGACAAATTTGAGTCCAATTCTACTTTTAAATGTTAATATTGAGAACTGTGTGAAAGTAGCATTTTAATAATGCATATAACATACCTACCTGGACACAGGCCACTTCCATTAACCTAACTCAAGTGTTTGAAACTTGAAAATAACTAGGTTCTGTACAGGGACTTCATTTAGGACAGCAAATGTCAAGGTGACATCTTAAATTGGTGGCTAAAAAGAAATGAAAATTCTAGGACACGTCTATGAACACTTGGAAATCTCTCAAGTTTAAACTGTTTCAAGAGGAATATTTAATACTAAACTCCCAGTCACAAGTATTTAATGTGAATGGGAAGGATGCTAAGATATAGTGTATATTGTTAAATATGTGCTTTATTTACTAAAGCTGAGATAACGAATAATGTTTCAGTAAGTTTGCTGTTGCAACAGAATATTGAAAATAAAGTTAGGTCAAATTATCCGTGATATGAGTTTCCTGAATGTTTAAATTACCATTTTGTTGGGGATGGGTGGATAGCTATTGCTGGTATCCATATGCAAATAAAAGGTAAATAGGATACAAGATACAGTTCTGTGAAGACGACAATATGCTTCTTGAAGATAAAGCTTTAAGGAAGGAGAATTAAACGTTGACTTTATGCATAAACCATAGATCTAAATGAAGTATAGAACAAACCTCCAAAGGCACTGACCTTTGTGTGGACAAGTTTGTCTCATTGCTATGGCAGAGCATATAATTGTTCAAAGTGGGCTTTTAAAATAGATTGATCAACTCCATAGATGCATATTCACGTTATGTGAATCACTGCTTTTTTACATACCTAAGTGATCCCTGATACTTCAGTTGACCTGAAAAAGATCTTGCAGTATGATTCTACATCTTTGCATAGAAAAGTTAAATTAACATGTTTGCACCACTGCTATTTGTTTTTATTAAACTATATTCCAAGTGTGAACCACTCTAGGTATGATCCAGTGTCAGTATAGTAATTGACTTTTTTTTTTAGGGGAATGGTGGCAACACCTGGAAGTGCTCAGGGCTTGCTCCTGAATCTCTGTTCACTCCTGGCAGGGCTCAGGAGGCCATCTGGGGTGCCGGGGACTAAACTTGGGTTGGTTAAGTGCAAGGCAAGAGCTCCACCAGCTGTACTATGGCTCAGATTCCTGACATATTCTTGAATCATCAGAACAAAATCTTTTATTTCAAGTTCAGTGATATTCCAGCTCTTAATTTGATGGCTTTATACACATTACATGCTACTTTATGGGATAAACCTGTCACCCTTTTTGATTCCAAAAGTTCATAGCCATCATTAAATTCTTAAACTAAAAACTTACCAATGCTCTTCCGCTCTTAGGCTACTAGTAGCAGTGAAAGGAAGTAAACCAAAAATTAACACAGTGACATGTTTGAATCCCCAACTCCCAACTGGGATGCTTTTGATAGCTTTTCTCTGTTTGTTAAAATTCTTAAATGCTTTTGATTTTGTATTGTCTTTGGTAACAGAGGAGTTATAAAATATTCAATTACTTGGATCACACTGACCGATGACAACAATGAAAGGCAGTAGAAGTTATTTGAAGAGTAGGTGTCTCGTCCTCTCAGCTCAGCTCAAATAATAGCCTTATATCCATATATTCAACTCAGTAGAAAAGGTCTAGCATTCTCAGGTTTCATTACTCAATATTGGACTATTAATTTTTGTTCTACGCCAACAGTAGTGAGAAGTGAGGCTGATAGACTATCAAAAAAAGCCTTAACCAAATAAGTAGATCTCAAGAGTTGCATGGCTGAGGAGAGAATAAGGAGCTCTCACGCCTGTAGGAGTGTGTTGACTCTTTAATTTATCAGTATCAGAATAGTCACTTTCCAAAAGCTTTCCTGCTTCTGGACCTGTAAAACTACTGGGAAAGCCAAACTCTCCTCTTAATTTCTGCTCTTGAATTCTCTGACCCATTTTTTTTTTTAAATATTACAATTTCAGACATGCTATCTAGTACAGCTTTTGTAAAGAAGTATTTCCCAAGACCCATTTCAGGGTCACTGTCCTCTCTCTATAGGAAGCAAAATGAGAGCTTTTCCATTGTTATATTTTGTCACTTCTTTAATTTTTTGGTATTTGTTTTTCTCATTAGATTGAGATGTTTGATCCTTTTGCCCATTTCTCTGATCTTATTTTCCATTTTAATTATGTTTGTTTAATGCATAATTATGAATCGCATTGGGGTTAGAATAGACAAAAAACTTGGATTAAATTCTTTTGCAGATTTTTTACTTTTTCTCTGATTATCTGCAAAACAGTAATACTATGTAGACATCATCAAATTACTATGGTCCTTGAAATGCAAATACCTAATAAGTTCTCTCCTCTTTTTGCTTTCTTACAGATTGTTTTTACATAAAGGAGATTGAATTTCAGCATCTGAAACTCAGAGAAATAAGTTATCAGATAACTTATTCAAGTATAAAAATGGATCTTAATCCATTTTTGTATTTGTATAGTAAGCAGAGAAAAAAAGCAAACCATGGCATACTATTCTATTTCAGGAGAAGTCAAGTCTTAGCATGCCCCCAACTCTGAATTAAAAAGGTAAACACGACACAACTTTATTTGTAGTTGTTCTTTTATGGTCATGTTTCCTGTATCACTACAGGAGTTCAGATTGTTGTTTGGAAAGTCTTTATTGTTAGAAGTTGAATCCCTGCTATGCAGCAACCATCTTTCATGTACCTTCTGCTAAAAGCCCGATTCCCTCTTGTATTCAGTGTAAATAATGTAGCAAGTGGTCTCAGATGCGACGTGGGTCAGAATCAACTGGGGTTCTGGATGGTATATAGGGTGAGGCTGTTGTGGCTTTCGACCAAGACCCCGAATCAGAATATGTAATACTGAGCTTCAAGAAACTGTACTTACACGAAGTCTCCAGAGTTTTCAGGAACGACCAACTTGAAGACTTGCTTGCTCACATCCTCAATCTTTCCTCACTTTTTACTTTTAATCCATTAGCGGTATCTCTGCTTTCACTCTGGTGAAAGCATGTTGGATTCCTCTCAGTTCTCTGTTTCTACATTTACAACCTGTGGGTCTGTATGCCTTCCTATCAATTCTTTGGTTCTCATTCAGGTTCGTTTCCACCAGCTGCAAAAGCAGTGTTCTTGAGTTGTGAATTGCAGAAACAAAACATTTTTGACCATCTTTTAAGAACTGTAATAGGTAGAAACTTTATAATTCATTCATTGATAATATAATGGAACCAAACCGCCTCAAAACCACTGGTCGCCTTTGGAAGATGCTAGGAAGTCAGTTCCTTATTTTGTGTACTGGCGAATGAGAAAGAAACATTTATCATGACTTTTCTATAGAAACTTAACCTCAGGATGATCAAATTAGTGGAAGCATGTAGAAATATTTCAGCTAGTAGACAAGTCTCCATTTTGAAATCCAATCTAGGCAATCATCAATGGCGTAAATGCAAGAAGATAACACTTCTGTAAAATACAGTACAAACGTTTGACACCTTAGAGCCAGAGAGATGAGATAGCTCAGCAGGGTGAAAGCATGCTTCACATGCAGGTGGCCAGGTTCAATCAGTGGCACAAGGTTCCTCAGGCACCACCAGAAGTGACCCCTGAGCACTCAGTTAGGAGTAGTAGCTGTGAGCATCGCCAAAGTGACCCCAAATCCCCGCCCCCACCAACAAAAAAAATCACAGCTTAACCTGATAGTTTGAATCAGTTCATGGGAAATGTAGAATATATAGGATATATAAGAACACATGATTGCCAAATTTCAACCAGCGAACTATAGACTGAGATGAGAAAATAAAATCTGGTTTCTTCATCAACAACAGTAACAAAAATGGAGGGTGAGAAAATAAGATTCTATTAGGGAATATCAAACAGTTGTGCTGTATGGGCCCTACACAGATTTTGAGAAATAAGATAGTAAGATAATGGAGAACATTTCCTTTGGGATTAACCGTTTTTTGTTTTGATACCAATTCCTGAAGTCGTTATGTTTTAAAGATAAATGCAGAAATGCTCTAAAAACTTATTTATGGGATTTGTTTCCAAATAATCATGTGGGGGAAGACGTGTAGAGGTAACGTAAAGTTGGATGATGGGAGTTCGTGATACTCTTCTGCCTTTTTTGTGTGTGTCTGTACTTTCCCACTAATAAAAGCTGAATACAAATTCTTCATAATCCCCAATTTCTGTTGAACTTTTTGTAATGTCACATGTAATAAAAATGACTTGCATTTAGAGGTCTTACCAGACCACATTAAGTTAGGACTTTGCCTGTTCATTTGTCAGTGTAGTTTGTTAAACATACTTTGTAACTCCTAACAAAGACTAAGGATCTATGTCTAACTTATACATGCCTGTATTTCTAATGCCCATCTTACCACATGTGATAGGGTAGGAGGTATTAAGTACTCATTGAATGAGTAATGTTGTCTCTCTTCGATGTATATGTTGGCTTATTTTGGCGCAAATGAAGTAAGATGTGAAAATAAGATGATTAAATAAATGCTTTGGTGCATGCTGTTTCTGAACTAAGCTCAGGTTTCTTCTAAATCAGACAGCTCTCGAGGACCACTGGGGGTTGCAAAATGAACATAGTGCTGCAGTGAACTTGGAAACCGTCCGCGGACTCTCCAGAAATAATGACTCATTCATATGGCTTTTAAATGATGGAATGAGTTTCATTTCAGCTTAGCCAGATTTTCCCTGCCTATTGGATTTTCACTGGAAGAGATTGACTCCTGTCACTCATTACAGGGATTTGAGCCAAGGGCCATCTGTAGAGCTCCTGTGCCACATCTGACATGCGGAGGCTCTCAGGTCCTGGTTTGGGGCCAGGAAGACAGCTCCTAGGAGGGCAGGAGCACATGCTTTGTGTGAGAGCGGTCCAGGTTCCGTCTCTGGTACTGCGTGGGTCCCCCCACCCCCCGAGTACCACTGGGAGTAGCCTGAGTGTTGCTGGATGTTGACCCCAAAATACGAATCTTCATTTGGTGGTGCTTAATGTATGTGAAAGTAAGAACGCCTTATCTCTACCAGTCCAAGAAATTGTAGTTTGTTTTATTGTCAAATCATTAATCATTGTATAATTTTAGGTAAATCCTCTTTTGGAGCACCTGTGACAGCTGGCTTTTCGGGTGTCCCCCAAACTAATCCTTGCCTCCAGGTCTCGACTCCCCGGTGTCAAATCACTGCACCCACACTCTCAGGGAGGGTCTGAGGAGGACATCCTCGGGGCCCTTGGAGCTTCTACTCGGTTGAAGTTTCTGAACATCCTGGTTCTGTCTCCCGTCTTCTTCAGTACAATGGTTTCATGCAATCTTAATTTTAAAAGAGGTACACTTTCTTAAATGGGGGAGATTTCATTTTAAGTAGACAACCGAGATATGGCAATAAGTTTTTATTTTTCATAAAGGTGTCATTGCAAGTACCGCTCAGAGAACACACCACTATTTTCAGATGCACAGAACTGAACATGTCACCTTATACGCAGGAAACTGGAGGAAGATTTCCCCGCCAGTGGGCCCAGGAGATAAAGTGGGTTAATGCCGTCTGTGGTGAAGTATGCGGCTCCCTCAGCCGAACCGACTGTGTTGGCCTGAGAGTGTCATGTGCAACCCCTGCAGCCTTGGGCTATTCTACAAGGCACGTCTAGCGACGGGCACGAGCAAGCATGAGCCAGGCGGCCTGTCGCATTCTGCAAGGAGACCGCCGGGCGCCTGGCACAGCACAGGTTGGAAGTCGGTACAGCCTGCTCGATGGTGTGAGAATTCCCTGAGCGCGTTGGTGGGCCATCAGCATCTCGGAGGGGCCCCTGAAACTTCCACCCAGGAAGCCGTGGGTGTGAAAGCACAGTGCTGTCCACGTCACAGAGCTGCCCCCTCCTCCCGTGCTGTCCTGCAGAAAAACCCTCATTTTAGTGAAAGCCTCTAACAGCTGAAACAGACCTTCCCCAGCCCCGCTCCAGAACCCTGGGATCGGGGAACACGTGGCGGCGCCGTGGGCTGTTTCCGTGGAACGTGGCAGTGTGGCTACTGGAGGTAGGTGTCCAGTTTCCTCTTGATGTTGTCGAAGGAGTCGGCACCTAGGTAGTCGGCCTGGCCCTGCTCCCACCGCTCCTTCCGCTCTTCTGAGGACACAAACGGCGGGGCCGCGGTGGGGAACTCCCCCAAGGACAGATGTGACATGGCTCCCGAGGCCTCTTCCTAGAAGGAGAGCAGAGCCAGAGACCCCGGTGAGCAGGCCACCTCCCAAGCAGACAGTCAACGGGAAGCGAGAAAAATCAGGATGGGCGGTCATGCAAAAGAGTCGCAACGGAAAATTGCAGCACATGAGATGGATGAAGAAGGAAGGGGGAGGAAAAAGACACAAAGACGGGGTTGTATGATTGTTTTCCTAACGAAATGAAGACTTCTCGACGCGGGGCAGACACTGGGTGGACGGGAAGGAGGGCTGACGTTTAAGTTCTGCGTACCTTTCTACAGAAGCCACAAGAGAAAGCCAGTGTACAGACCCAAGTCTGAGAGCTGCAACAGTTCAGTAGAAAGCGTAAGGCGGCTGGAGCGGAGAACTCGAGGCTCACGCTAACTTCTCGGTCGGTGTGGGCTCGGAAAGGTGGAGAACTTAAACAAAGGGGCTCTGGAGAGGCTGAACCTCGGCAGGCGCGCACCCAGAGAGCCGCACTGCACACACGAGTTGTCAGGCTCTCGGGGGAAAGCTCAGTGGGTAGAGACTGCGCCCAACCAGAAGGCCTGCGTCAGCCCAGGGTGTCGGCTCTTGCAGCCTCTGTGCATCTGCCCACTGTCTCCGTTCCCATCTTCACCTTTCCTTGGGGGTCGGAAGGACACGGTGCACGTTCAGGCAGCAGAGCCCACCTACTCTACGTTAAATTAAATTTGGTGCACATCATGGGTAGGCAGTCCCCTTTAAAAAAAGTCAGTGCTATTCTTTGAAAGAGGCTCAGGTGAGAAGGTACTAGAGATCTTAGTAGAGAAAAGGGCAGGCAAGTGATTGCAGATGCAGTGTTTTTAACCAAGAAAAAGGGAGCACAGAAACTTTGATTACCTGTTGCTATAGGTCCGTGAGAGCATACTATATATGCACGTATGTAAATAGACTAGAAATACAATGTATTAGGCCTGTGGAAACTGGTCTTCAGAGCTGTATTATAATGGCTGGTGTTGATTAGACCCGCCTTTGCCGAATGCCAAGATCTTTCTCAACCAGTTAAAGTCTCAGACCCAGATTTGAATCTTGTTACTGTCTAGTTTGTCACCTGAGAGGTTATCAAAGGACTTTCAGCCTCAGTTTATCTATGAAACGGGGACAGTAACACTAGCACTTGATAGCGTCTGCCAGGCTTAATTAAGAACAGCTTTCTCGGGCTGGAGGACAGTACAGTGGGGAAGGCACTTGCCTTCCGTGCAACTGACTCAGAGCGGATCCCTGGCACCCCAGAGGTCCCCTGAGCACTGCCAGGAGTGATCCTTGAGCACAGACCCTGGAGTAAGCCCTGAGCATGGCCAGGTGTGTCCAAAGCCCACGGCCGGAGGGGAAGCTGTTCTTGTTTAGTTTTCCGTTGCAGTTTTGGGCCCACACCTGGCACGCCAGTGTTAGGGGTTACTCCTGGCTCTGTGCTCAGGGATCACTTCTGGCGGGGCTCTGGGACCATAAGTGGTTCCGGGGATCGAACCCACTACCTGCTGTAGTATCTCTCCATAGTGTCTCTCCAGCTCAAGCACAGTGTCCACTCAATCAGCGGGTGCTCAGTTCCACACTGTTCTTGGGTCCATGCAAGTGCCCCATGACCCACAGGAGCTCAGAATAAGAACTGAGTTAGTTATTTTTTTCCTTCCTCCTTATATTTTGGTCCAATGGTAATATTAGTAAGCGGCTAAATTTGTACCACAGCCAAGGACAATCTTTCATATAATCGTACAATCTCACAATTATACTATATACTCATATGGTATAGACGTCGCCCATTCATTTCTGGTCTTTATAAAGGAATGTAACGGAAGTTCAGTTTCTCCTCTTCCAATTCTTCTAAAGAAACAGGCCTCAGAGGGAGCCCTCTGAGGCCCATGAAGATGCTGCCAGAGGGTTCTGGGACTTGTGAGGGCATGTCATCTGTCTCTTGCGAGATGACCTTTTTTCAAGCTTCTTTATAAACACACAAATATAAACGAAAGTCATCGATAATGAGAATATCTGCTCACATTCCTGTCACTGTGATTTTCTACTGCAAATATATTCTGAGCCCCCTCCCTCCTTTTTTGGTAAGGGCATTTAGTTTCAAAAAGGGAAAAATTCATCTAGACTACTGGAATGATCCCAGTCTCTTCACAGGGGCTAATTACAAGTTTGCAGATTTGTACGAAACCTCCCCAAACCCTTCCTTCTGCTCTCAGACCTAATGCAAAGGGTAGTGTTGGCTGGGCTTTCACACAAAATCTTCTTTATCCGCTAAGTAGTGCCGCTAAGGACTCCCCCTGGTCTTGGGGCCCTGAGTGTTCAGAGCTTGTGAGGAGAGAACGTACCACGGTGAGGGCCGCGCAGGTGTCTGTGGCGAGGCCATGCTGCCGAAGCACGGGGAGCACGCTGCTGGTGAACACGTCCCACCACAGCTGCAGGAACTCGGGGTGCGCCATGCTGGGGTCGTGGCCCTCGCTTCTGACACTTTTTGTTTTCGGGTCGTAAGCATAATTCCATGGCTTGATTCGCCCCAGGAAGTGCACCACTTTGGCATTTCCACCAAACCTGCCAAGTGAACACAGGTCGAGACCGTTGCTGGATTCTGATCACCCACGAAATGGTAACGGTGGGCGGGAGAGAGAGCGCAGCGGGTCAGGCACTCCCCGGGCATGCAGTTCCCGTGGGTTTGGGCCCCAGCGCTGCAAGTGGTTTCAAGTACCCCACCAGAGGTGATCCAGGAACGTGGAGTCAGGAAAACGGGTGTGACCCCCAAGTCGTCTCTCTGTACTTCCTGAAGCCTTGGCAATCACGTCCACACCCCAAAGCTGCCACCCAGTAGAAAAAGCTACTCCAGCCATACCTTCCCGATAAAGACACTGAATGCCCTGAACAAACACGAAGATATCTTAGTACCTGTATTGCAAGCCACAATGCACACAAGAAGAGAGCGAATGAAGCCAAGTGCCCACCATAGAGGCAGGCTGCAGGGTGGGGGAAGTGTTGGAGAAAGTGGGAGGGAAATGGGGGACACTGTGATGGGAAATGAATGCTGGTGGAGGGACGGGTGTCGGGTCGCTGTAGGACCGGAACCCAATCATGAACAGCTTTGTAACACTCTGTCTCATGGAGATTTAATAAATTTCAAGAAAGATTAGAAAAAATCAAAATCAGGCTGGAGAGAGCACAGCAGGCTGAGTGCACACGTCACATGCAGGGAGCCCAGGTCTCACTCCTGGCGCCACATGGTCCCCCCAAGAACTCCCCGGGCTGACTCCTGACTCCCGGGGGCGTAGCTGCACGCAGCATCAAGTGTGACCCCTACCCAAAATGGAGCGACAGTACCAAGCCCTTGAGAGGGGTCCTGACTGCACCCGCCCTCCTAGAGCAGCGCTGGGACAATGAGTGAAACCCATCAGAGAAACTTGGGTGTATTAAGAAAAAAAAGAAAAAGAAAAACTGTCAAACGGCTACAGAAATGTCAGAGAAGAGCCGTGGGGGCGGTGGTCCAACACGCCCACCCCTGCCGCAGCCCTGGCCTGGTGGCTCGCTACGATGGCCAGTGGCCCTGAAAGCATGTGACCCACCCACCGTGCCCCTCGCCTTTCTAACCTTCCCCTGCGCTGGAAACCGCCCCCATGGCCACAGGTGAGTCGCCCAGCTGACCCTTCAGGCGTCCCGGCTTCCAGCGCCTGCCAGGGAGAGACCATTGCCTCTGCGTCCTTCTCGCCTCACCTGTGGGACCCGGGTGGTGTGACCGTGGGCCCCACAGAAGTAGGCTGGCGGGGAGCACAGGTCCGAGTGCCCGTGCCCTGAGGTTCACCAGCCCCCAGCAGAGCCGGGAGTGATCCCCGAGTGCCAGGCCCCCGCCGGGCTAGGAGCCTCCCCCCAGATAAAAGCACCACGTTCTCTGTTCTCTGCTCTCCGAGAAGCTGCAGCTCCAACAGCAGACCAAGCTTGGTCGGGAGGCTGGTTCCAGAAGGGGACACACAGTGACACAGCTCAAACGTGGCAGAAGCACAGACGTGGCTGGGAAGGGCAGAGTGCCCCTACCTGTCCACCTCTGTGGCAGCTGAGTCCTTGCTGATGGCCGAATGGCACAGGTCACTCATCCACTCTACTGTCTGGAGGGACAATTTCTGGCATGTTTATATCCCGCGGTACAATACAGTAGCGAAAAATTTACTGTTCAACTTTTACGTACACCGGTAAATTTCTGTTAGCTTTTGGAACACGCCTGGCAGTTCTCACAGCTGACTTCCGGCTCTGTGCTCAGGGGTTATTCCTTCACGTCTAGCAGCGCGCAGGGATTTGAACCAGGGGCAGCTTCACGCATGGCAAGACTGAACTTCTATTTTTTTTTAATATGCCTTATAAAAGTACCTACAAACGCAAGTCAAAATCCATATAAATCTACTTGCACAAGGCGAGAGCAGACATGAAACTGGTGTGTAAACCAGGCTAGTCTGATCTCTGGAGGAGGACGCCGGGTTTGTGGCCATGCTGGCTGTTTCATTTCTTGGGAGACATTTCTGAATCAACGCAGTTGTGGTAAATACTCTGGTGTACATTCTGTCTTGCAGCAGCATCTTACAAAAGCATCGGTTGCGAGGTCCAGTTTTGAGGCCAGAGAGATGCCATGCATATTTTGTGTGCAGAACCCTGGGTTTGCTCCTCAGCACCCCAGGGTCTCTCCCCCCTCAGGCACCAGTGGGTATACCACCCCCCAAAAAAAGGGGGGCTTTCTTTGGGAGGAAACACCTACATATTCAAAATGAAAGTGAAGGGGTCAGGGACAGTAAAGCAGGGAGGGTGCTTGCCTTACACACAGCCAACCTGGGTTCAATCCCCAGCAACCCATAGGATCCCTGAGCACAGAGCCAGGAGTAAGGCTGGAGCACCTACGGTATGGCCCAGAAACCGCAGAAACAACCGAGAAAGAACCCAGAAAGTGGGAAGCCGGGTGCCTGCTTGCCTTGCATGCCGCCAACCGCGGTTCTAAAAGGGACCCCTGAGCCCTGCTAGGGGTCATTCCTGAAGAGTCAGGCACAGTCCCGGGCACCACTGGGCATGGCCCAACCCCCCTCCCCCGCTACAATCAAATCAAAGTAAATAAAAACGAAAGCAGCCGCTGGGGCCAGTGGAAAGGTGAGTGTGTGTGCCGGGGACCCAGAAGCACAGAGAGGTGACTGGAGTGAGGGCCTGGCTGGGGGGAGGGGAGTGCCTGATGGAAAGACTGGCAGGCGGGTGGCCGCAATCAGGGGAGCGCGTGTGGGCGCGAGTGGGTGGCCTCCACCTGGAGCCGAGGAGGGACAGGCCGGACAGGGCAGGCTCTGCCAGGTGGGGGTCGAGGGGGCTCATTCGGAGGCACCCACGGTACGAAAGGGGTCCTGACAGCACATGCTCCGGTGTCCTGGCTTCTGCGGCTGCAAAGGGTGTCATCAGAGTCTGCGGGGGCAGCTTGTCCTGCCTGGAAGTGGAGCTGCCCAGGACCGGTGTGTGTGTGTGTGTGTGTGTGTGTGTGTGTGTGTGTGTGTGTGTGTGAGAGAGAGAGAGAGAGAGAGAGAGAGAGAGAGAGACAGAGACAGAGACAGAGAGAGAGAGAGACGGGTGTGTGTGTGAGACAAGTGTGCGTGAGACAAATTGTGTGTGTGTGTGTGTGTGGTGTGTGTGGCACCGCTGGGGACTCTTCCAAGAGCTGCAGCTCTGAGCCCTCAGGGTGGACCCTGCCACCCCAGCTTCCTGTTCTTCCCTGCAAGCTCCAGGGGAGCAGCCATACACACGACACAGGAGGTCAGCACTCAGGGCCACACGGTCCCCTTCCACCCGGGGCGGAGTGGTAACTGCAGGCGAGGCAGGTGCAGCATTCGAGGCTGCCGGGGAAATCTGCTACCTGGGGATCTGTTGCTGCTTGTTTGGGGGAGGGGGCACCCCAGCTGGGCGTCTGCTCTGCACTCAGGGATCATCACTCATGGTGGGCTTGGGGGACCGACCACAGGAGGTGCCATGCACAGCCAGCGCTTGGCCCCGTGGGCAGCTGGCGAATTCAGGGGGTGGGGAGAGGAAGGGCCGGTGCCAGCAGGACTGGCGTGTACAGGGCAGGCGGAGCAGAGATGAGGTGGCAGAGAAGGCCTTGTATCCCAGGGCTGAGTCCCCAGCACCATCTATGGCCCCGCGCACACGGCCAGGAATAGCCCTTGAGTGCCGCTGGGTGTGGCCCCCAGGCCCTGCCCCCACCCCACACTAAGACCTCTGCAGGGTCAGCTGAGCTTATCTCCAGGACAAATAAGGGAGGAGAGCCAAGGCAGGGGGAGAGCGGGTGGAGGGGTGGGGGCCCATGTCAGCTCACAGTCGCACCAGGGCCAACCCCCCCCCCCCCCCCGCAGGGTGACAAGGGCTGTTCACGGAGGAAGTCCCCGTGTCCAGCTATCCCAGTGAGAACTGAAACGCCCAAACACAAAATCGGAAAAGATGGTGGTGGGAAGGTGTGCCCGACGGTGGTGAGATTGGCGCTGGACCCCTGAACGTGCCCAACCACCATGAACAACTTCGAAAAGAGATGAATGAAACATACAAATGAAATAAAAATCGTAAGATGGCCAAACGCAGCCACGACAGAGCCACAGAAAGCAAGCGAGGGGCCAGGAGCTCGTGCAGCGCCCAGACAACACGGGGATCATGCAGGGGAGGCACCTGGCTGGCACGTGGCTGGATCTGGCTTGATTCCCAGCCTCCTGCGGTGCTCTGAGCACTGCCAAGGGTCACGTCCAAGCACAGAGTCAGGAGTAAGCCTTGTGCACCTCCAGGTGTGGCCCAAACACAACGGAAGTGCCCCAGTTTTTTGTTCTACCAATATCACAAAACCACTGTAGCCACATGAAGCCAGAGCACAGATGACAAGAAAGAGAACATTCCCCCTTGCTTTGTTTCGTTGTGTTTTAGGGGGGTGGAGTCACACCCGGCAGTGCTCTCATCTTATTCCTGAGCACTCAGGGATTACCCCTGGCGTTGCTCAGGGACCATATGGGATGCTGGGAATCGAACCCAGGTCGGCCGTGTGCAAGGCAAACGCCCTACCCGTTGGGCTATCACTCCAGCCCCTGCCCTTTGCTTTAAAGACTATCCATTAGCCTTGTGGTGATCTGGGATGACCTGACAGGGGGCGGTATTTTTCTAGCATGATCTCCCTCACCAAAGAACGGCCATCAAACACAACGTATGTCTCCCTCCCGGCCGATGGCAAAATAGCCGATGAATAAGCAAGGAAAATATTGATGCCAAGTTCAACTGACCTTGCCCCAGAATAAAGCTGCCCGGAAGCCTCCCTGACTCATCGCTAGATTTATCCACCAAACCACCAGCCAGGGATAAAACCAACCAACTAACCAACCAACCAACCAACCAACCAACCAACCGCAACAAAAAAAGAGCCGGGTTCCCATCGCAATTGCCTCTAAATTATTCAGCCATTCAGCCATTCATTCTGACCCAGCAATGTGATCGTGTGCCCGCCTGCCTCCTTCTCTTAAAATAAGTGTTCTAATTTTAACCTGAGCGATTCCAAGAGA